AAGTGAAGAGTGTGTGAATACTGTGAGTGTGTGCGTGTTTGTGCTGCTAGTGAGTGTATGCGCTACGAGTTAGGGTGTGAGTGTGTGCGCTGTGACTGAGGATGCGTGTGTGCATTTACGTGTTGCGAGGAAGTGAGTTTGCTGTGTGGATTCTGTTAGTGTGTGTGTGTGTACGTGTTTTTGTGACATATCAGGACACGAATCTGTATAATGGCATAGGTATGACACAGGTATTACAAAAAGGAGGTGAAATATGAGGACATTGGTGACGTCCTCATTTCTCAAAATGCTTATAAATCCTACAGAATGAGTTTAATCAGAGTAAAGCTGCACACAGTCTCCTGGGATGGTTGGGTTTAGGGGTGGGGTGAGGGCAAAATAATATACGGTTTGGACAGTATAAAATGAATGGAAATCTATGTAATGTCCCCACTTTTCACAAAAACAAACGTGTGTGTGTGTGTGTGTGTGAATACTTTGAGCGTTCAGTGAGTGTGTGTGTGAGGCTGAGTGAATAGTGTGAGTGTTTGTGTGTGCTGTGTGTGAGTGTGTGTGGACACTGAGTGATTGACTGTGCATGTGTGTGTGTGTGTGTGTGTGTGTATGCGTGTTGTCATGGATACTGTAATGAGGGCGATTCTCTCCAGGATGTTAGTGAACAGTAAGCGGGACTCATGTGACTCACACACACACCGCATGCCGTACGGCCAGCACTTAAAAACAATGCAGAGCTTCAGCAGCAGCTCAACACAGATCCAGTCACGCAGTCCTGCCTCGTCTTCATCAAGGGGAGACGGCGAGTGTTTCATTAACCACATCAGTAGATGTCACAGGAGTATCCCGCTGCTTTAAACACTACTGCGGCGGTCGATTCACACATTCTGTCCACAGATGTGTTTTGTTTCCTCTTATTCCAGAGCCAAAAAGGTTGTTTCAGAGCATTACAAAGAAAACAGAATTATAATTTGTTGTCTTTTAGGTGGCACCGTGTCTTAGTGGTTAGCCCTGTCACCTCACAGCAAGAAGGTCGCTGGTTTGAGTCCTGGATGGGCCAGTTGGCATTTCTATGTGGAGTTTACATGTTCTCCCAGTGTTCGCGTGGGTTTCCTCCGGAAGCTCCGGTCTGCCCCATAGTACAAACACATGCGCTATACAGGAGAACTGCATAAACTGAATTGGCCGTAGTGTGTGTGTGTGTGTGTGTGTGAGTGTGAGTGTATAAGTGTTTTCCAGTGCTGGGTTTGCAGCTGGAAGGGTATCCACTGCATAAAACATATGCAGGAATAGTTGTCGGTTCATTCCGCTGTGCGACCTCTAAAATAGAGACTAAGCTGAAGGAAAATGATTGAACAAATGTTGTTTATAGAACAATTTCAACATTTAACCCTTAAGTATTGTATTAAATTTACTACTACATTAAAGTGTGTGTGCATGAAATTCTTAGCTAGTTTATAGCTTAAATTAACATTAGAAAAATACGATTATTCTTCAGACTATAATCGCACAACCAAAATCTATAACTGCTGCATCCCTATTTATTACACAGTTTAAAACAACATATGAATGTGTCTGAAGAAGCCTACGTGAGCATTGATTTAGTTGTGCTTTAAAATCCAACATTTGAATATGCTTGTAAAAATAAGCCACATTGTACAATGCAGTGATGGCATGTCGTTTCAAAATACAACATATTAACGTTTAAATGTAGAAAAAGTCAACGTAGGTGTCTTTTGGCCCGTTTCCACTGAGTGGTACGGTACGGTTCGGTTTGGTACGCTTTTTTGGCCGTTTCCAATGTCAAAAGGCGAACCGAACCAAACCGTACCGTACCACTTTTTCGGGACCCGTTGGAAAGGGTCCCAAACTGCAGAAAGGGTCCCAAAAAGTGGAGCTACACGCGCAGCTGAACGCTATTGGTTTACAGAGATACGTCATTCGTAGACTCAACAAGCCAGAATGTAAACAAAGGACCCGCCATGTTTGAAATACACAGCGAGAGATTACAGCGGAATTATAAATACATATGCAGCCATGGTCGATCCTGCAAACAAACCCTGCCGTCGTCATGATAAACAGCCACAAAGCCATGGAGAACAGCAGATTCACCCTGTGCCGCGTAGTTTTTAACGAGCCAGTCTGAAGCCCGAGTGGTTTCGCTTTCTTGCTTGCGCTCGCCGCGCATCTCTATCTGAAATAACAAACTTCTTGATCTGATGATAATAACGTACGTTTGATTATTGACAAGCTTTGGATGCCGATCCTGTGAGAAGCTGACAAATGAGAGTGACCCATTCAGAAAGAAAAGGACAAACGGGAAAAAGGGGAAGCCAAGGAGCAGGTTATTTCTTCAGCAAACGTGAACAAAACTGCCTTTTAATCTTTATCACCACCTTTTGGACTAATATGAACTGGGGATGATGGAATGACTCTCTAACAGAGGCTACATGTGCTGCTGAAGATTACAGACACAGATGAGAGGTTTGCTCTGACTGTAGGCTATACTTTGTGTTGTTTTGAACCTAATTAATGACGAAATGTCTGCTTTGTGTAGTTCTTCTGTAGTTGGTAACATATCGGGGACTGTAAGTGTCTGTATGTGTTCATATATGTTCATTTATTTATTTATTTAATATAATTACAGACGTTACAGTAGACTATTTCACACTGTCATTGATCTGCAGTTATAATCAACTCATGTTTATAGAAAAGTTAGTAATAAACATTTATACACAAGTGTTTATGTGTGTAAAGCATCTGTTTTGTGAGAAGTGCTTTTCATATGATATGTGAGCGACCTGTGCAGCTCTATTGTAGACATTTTCTCGAGCGAAAATGGCGTCGACTGAAACTTTGTCATACACCACGTCCACCAAAAGGGGACCCTTGGTAGTGGAAACACAAGCCTGATAAAGGTGACCCGTACCGACCCGAACCGAACCGTACTGTACCAGTCAGTGGAAACGAGCCATTTATGAGCACAAATACAGCATATGGGCTCTTACATGTTGTCGTGTCATCACTTATATTAAAGTCATATCTCTCCGGCCCCTCGTTTAGAATGCTTCATGAACTGGCCTCCATGACAAACTAATTGAATAGCCCTGATGTATGGTGTCATGGATTTGCAGTCAAAACAAGTTCATTATAATGAAAGTCAATGGGGCAAAAACAGCCCCGAACATAAGGAAAAGGCGGTCAATTTGCCCAGAGTGTATTGTTGAGGTTTTTTTAATTATTGTTTCAAATTATTTTCCTGAAATATGTTTCAAAATAGTCACCAGAAATCATCCCATTTGCTGAAACACAGAGAAAGTTGTGGCCAAATTAAGCCTCAAAATCACCCCATAGTGGATGAAAACCCCAAAACTAGCTGTCTGAAACTGTTCAAAACTAGCACAAGACGATAATATTTGCAACCATAGCATTTAGAAATGAAAGAAAAATATAAATACATTAATAATCTAAACAGAAATACTGTGTGCCATTTCCAAACTACTAAAAACTGAGGGCTCTATTTTGACGGTCCATGTGCAGAGCGCAAAACGCAGGGCGCAAACGCTTTCAGGGCGTGTCAGAACGCATTTTTGCTAATTTAAGGACGGGAAATCTGCCTTGTGCCGTGGCGCATGATCTAAAAGGGTTGAGTTTATTTTCTTAATGAGTTATAGGTGTGTTTTGAGAATAAACCAATCAGAGTCTCATCTCCCATTCCCTATAAGAGTCAGCTGCGTCACACCAAGAGCGCATTCACTATTTACAGGACGCAAAGTAAGTCTAAGTGGAAAAAATGAGCATTTCACAAGCAAACAGTTAACAGTTCACAGTTCACAGTTTATTAACAGAAAACTGTTAAACAGAGCATCTACTGCGTGAGAATAAATGGATCACTTTCACTTTCGCTCTTGGATAGGGAAATTTTTAAGCACAGACATCAATTAGTCTATAAATAATTAATTTCATTTGTTAAGCGCAAATATTCGTTTCAAAACTATTTTAAATTCAGTTCTAATTTCCAGCAAACGAATAAATGAACAATAATAACAAAATGTGCTCAAAAACCTGAGTTATATCCTAAAACACATGCTGTGCCCCATATGGTCTAAAACCTGACCGGTGGACAAATCTAAGCTTGTTTTTAATAAAACAAATATAAATATGGATATAATAAATAATTCTGCTAATAATAATAACATTATACAAAAGCAAATTGTTATGAATGAACTGAAAAAGCCTCCCGAGATGAAGAAGACATAAAAGCAGTGATTTTCATATTTCTGTAGGCTAGAAAATAATATGTTTTGTAATACTTTAATCCTTTATATTCATATCCTATATCTATTCTTATTATATTCTATATATATCCTTAATATTTACATTTTTTCATATGTAAAGATATTTGCCTATTGCTCTCTTGTGTGTATTAAGCAGTGCGTAAGCGAGGCGCAACTCTGCGCTGGAGTTTAGACCGGGTTAGTTTTGGTCTAATGAAAAATCTATTATAGTTTCTTAAAATAGCAACGCGCCAGCAGTGCGCCTCGAACACCTTCCTTTTTAGAGCAGAACGCCTATGGGCGCACATATGAGCGCTAATGCATTTGCTATTTAAACAGCGTAGCGCAACGCCTCAAAACCACTCTTGCGCCAAGCTGAAACTACCAAAAGACTATTGCAGTCACGCCGTGCGCCACACTGCGCCGGGTGTATGATAGGGCCCTGAAGGGTATTAAAAATAAGTGCATGCCACAACATTAGCTGGCATTAGATTTTCCCCTTATATTCCACAAATGTGATGATGTTCTGGTTTAGTTTTCTCTCACCTGATAGAAGTATGGGTTGGGCTCAGATTCGCCCACGCCGTTGAAATCCTCCACGTTAATGAGCTGGAAGTCGAAGGTGAAGCCGGGGTTCGGCGTCTGGAACTCAGGCTGAAGCTGAACGTGAGGAAGATTCCCCAGCTGCTTATAGCGCCAGTTGTACAGGTTACACAGACTGACAAACACACAGCAGAGACAGACAGAGTCAAAACATGACAGGAGACTGCACATCTGAGGACTCAGCAATACTAATTATGCAAGATTCTAAAGGTGCAGTATGTAGGATTGCGCTAAGTATTGCAGTCCAAATTCAAAATATTAGAGAGGGGTTTTTTTCACCTGGCCCTCCTCATGCACTTGCAGGTTGCCGGATTGACGATACAAACAGAAGAAAATGTTCCTGACAATAGTGCTTTAAACGTTAAGTTGCTCAGCTAATGTTTATGATTGCGATATTTGCTCATTATAAATGTATTAGGGATCAGTAAAATCAAAATCAGAATTAATTGAACATTTTAAACCGATTACCAATAATGAATGATTATTTTGTTTATTTTTTGCCCTCGTTAGTTCACTGACAAGTTTTGTACAGTAAATATACTCACATATTACAAGTGAGAGATGTTTGAATGAAGGGTGCATTACCTGATTTTAAAATAATTGAAGGAAACACACACTATCTATGATTATTTATTGAACATCAAAGTTGAAATTATAACAGAAATTAAAATAATATAAACAGCTGAAATTAAAACACACATTACCTAAAACCAACAGTCATGTGACGCATTAGGGAAAATAATGGAAAGAATTGACCTGGAAAATTTTTATTATAGGCAGGGCTTTACATTAACACCCGCCAAACGCGGGTAGATTTTGGTTGTGGCGGGTTAGACAGCTACTCCCACTAGCCACTTTGGCTGGCTGAAACTCATTTTTAAATTGCCAGTGCTGCAGGCTCGTCGTCACTACAGATTAGACTGTTTGTCTAAATGCGTACAAATGTGATCTTAGAATCGAGAAGCAACACAACTGACGAAAACTGCTTTTCGCGGTAGCAAACGAAAGCAGGTGAATAACGAATGAGAGGATCACACGCACGGTGAGACAGGCTTTCCGGTGTTTAACCGCTGCCATTTCCTGACTCCAAGCAACCGTGCCTGGAAACTAAGGCCCCGTTTACACTAGTGCGTTTTAAAACGGCGTTTTAGAATGAAAACGATCCGCGTCCACACTCGCGTTTTACCCAGCGTTTCTGAACTGCTCTCCGTCCACACCAAAACACTGAAAACGCACATCACGTGACCACACAGACACACTTTGGCAAGCGCTGCAGCCTATCTACCCAGATGAGAGCTCTGCTAGTCGCACTTCTCATCAAGCATCTCCCGCTGGATCTAATCTCACTATATTTATTAAACGTGATATTTCATTCATCTTGTTGTCTTTATCTAACGACATATTCCCTGACTTTGGGCATTGGTATCTATTACTTGTTCTCAGGTAACGTGTTTTGGCTGAGCGCAAAGATAAGTTAATGATTAATGTAAGCACGTAGCCTATTCTGTATATTGACTGATTGCTTGCCTTTATTTCCTATAATGTATAAACTTATTGTATGTTATACTTTTGTAATGGCCATTATCGATTATTAAAACTGATATTCAGCAAAAGAGAGGGTGTGTTTCGTATTTTCACTGAAATTGAAAGGAGGCAGTTGTTATCGGCTCCGTTTTGTTATAAATATCCACACAGTGAAGATGACGCTCATGCAGCACGACGCCTCAACATTTCTGCTGTCTAAGTTGCTAATATTAAAATGAAAATAGGCAGTTCCTTAAATCATGTTTACATTTTATTGTTGAGCCAGGGTGATGTGAATGAAGTTATAAAGTTCACTGTTCCCTTTAAAGATTTACCCGTGTCCTCGGTATAGTCTGTTTTCCATATCAAACTGAGATGCAGCCTTGATCAAACTTGCGAAGTCTAAACTTACACGGAGAAAATGCAGGACAGAACTGTGTGTGTTAGGCTACTTAATATTGAGGAAAAGCCCCAATCAGAGAGGCGAATGTCTGCAGCCCCGCCTCCGTTTTCAGATGTCTCCGTTTTCCATCATCCACACTGAGACGGAGCAGCAGCGTTTCAGAATGAAAACGGCCTCTCCAGCGTTTTCGAAACGCTCCGTTTTCGGCGCTCGTGAACTCCGGCGTAGTGTGGACGGTTGGCGTAACCGTAGCAAAACTTATGAGTTTTCAAACTAAAACGCACTAGTGTAAACGGGGCCTCAACTAGTGCGATGCTCGTGCACCCACAGTCCTTCAGGGGCTGGAGATTCTTTGTAAACAGCAGCAATTGTAAATTGTAAATTGCTTTCCCTTTAATCATTCTTTGAACAGATTATTAATTGGCCTAACATTAACTGTGGGCACGGCATTATCCTTTCATTACCACACTCAGCATGTTTTTTACCCGCTTTCTTTTGCTTGCTGTTATTTTAGTTAATATAGTTTAATAATCGTCCTTTACAATAATATTGCTTCAATATGTTGTTGTAAGCACAGTTAACTGGTGATCAGGGATCTTAAGCCAGAACAGACCACTGTGCATAGTTTTAGATGCGTGAAAATATATATATTTTAAATGTCAGCTGTTTTGTTGAATAAAAAGTGTATGTATACAGCAGTATTTTGCTTGTTTTGACACATTATTTACAATTTGTGGCAGGGAAATAATTAGTTTGGTGTGGCTAGAGAAAAAAAAATGAATAGCCCTGAAAAAGCCCTGTGAAAGACACTTTTTTATGAAAGCATAACCCATTTACTCATGCTCATCGAGCAAGCTCATAAACAAAAAAACGGTTAAATGAATGAGGAGGAAAGTGGAAAAAACACAAAATCTAAATGGAGTAAATTTAGCATGCCGCAACCCATGCCAAGTCAAATTTATGCATATGAAATATATTTTTTCAAAAACAAACATGTGGCTGGTGATCAAAACAGTTAGGGCACTATCATACACACGGCGCAGTGTGGCGCAAGGCGCAGCGCAGTAGTCTTTTGGTAGTTTCAGCTTGGCGCAAGAGTGGTTTTGAGGCGTTGCGCTACGCTGTTTAAATAGCAAATGCATTAGCGCTCATTTGTGCGCCCATAGGCGTTCTGGTCTAAAAAGGGAGGCGTTCTGAGGCGGACTGCTGGCGTGTTGCTATTTTGATCAAAACAAACCCGGTCTAAACTCCGGCGCAGAGTTGCGCCTTGCTTACACACTGCTTAATACACACAAGAGAGCAATAGGCAAATATCTTTACATATGAAAAAATGTAAATATTAAGGATATATATAGGATATAATAAGAATAGATATAGGATATAAATATAAAGGATTAAAATATTACAAAACATATTATTTTCTAGCCGACATAAATATGAAAAATCACTGCTTTTATGTCTTCTTCATCTCGAGAGGCTTTTTCAGTTCATTCATAACAATTTGCTTTTGTATAATGTTATTATTATTAGCAGTATTATTTATTATATCCATATTTATATTTGTTTTATTAAAAACAAGCTTAGATTTGTCCACCTGTCAGGGTTTAGACCATATGGGGCACAGCATGTGTTTTAGGATATAACTCAGGTTTTTGAGCACATTTTGTTATTATTGTTCATTTATTCGTTTGCTGGAAATTAGAACTGAATTTAGAAATAGTTTTGAAACGAATATTTGCGCTTAACAAACTAAATTAATTATTTATAGACTAATTGATGTCTGTGCGTAAAGATTTCCCTATCCAAGAGCGAAAGTGAAAGTAGCTCCATTATCTCTCATTCTCACGCAGTAGATGCTCTGTTTACCAGTTTTCTGTTAATAAACTGTGAACTGTTTGCTTGTGAAATGCTCAGTTTTTCCACTTAGACTTACTTTGCGTCCTGTAAATAGTGAATGCGCTCTTGGTGTGACGCAGCTGACTCTTATAGGGAATGGGAGATGAGACTCTGATTGGTTTATTCTCAAAACACACCTATAACTCATTAAGAAAATAAACTCAACCCTTTTAGATCATGCGCCTTGGGGCAAAGCAGGTTTTCCCGTCCTTAAATTAGCAAAAATGCGTTCTGACACACCCTGAAAGCGTTTGCGCACTGCATTTTGCGCCCTGCGCATGGACCGTCAAAATAGAGCCCTTAATGTCAAGCCCTGATTATAGGTTCTGAATGTCAATTTCGATTACTTTTCGCTTAATCGCCCTGCCCTAACATGTATATTTTTGTATAACTGAACTTGCGTCTCATTTCTGAGGCTTGTTCTGTTCTTCAGAGGTCGCATTTTCACCTGCGTGCACATACATTGAGGCAGCCTTCAAGACTGAAGTGAAATCTGCAGTTTTTCCACAAAGACCTGCTGCACTGCTATCCACGATGTCTGCATTCAGGCACGGGGATTCAGGAGAAGTTCTCCTCATTTATAGTGTTTATATAAACACGATCATCTTTATAATGATATAACAGATGGCTGTGGCTGTGTGTATATGACAGATGTAGCAGGGCATTAAATTACTGTTTATTTCTTTACATTTTAACTTTGTCAACTCTAAAATCATGCGTCTCCTCATGGTTTGTCTCATTTTGAGAGGTGCCTGACAATTGTTTGCTTCACGCCCACTCCTCCCTCTGCTCGCATCATGAAGCATTTTTTGAAAAAGATCTGAGGTAGACCTGAAGTGAAAGAGGGGGGTTTCATGGCCCTTTAAGATGTAATAATTCTATTTTATTTGAGTTTTATCCAGCAAAAAGTGTGGTGGTTTCAGCTAATACACTAAACATCGGCGTCTCTCTGGTGGAAACTAAGGGCCCAGATCAGTGTGATGAGAGGACTGACCTGGCTCTCGCTCTGCCCTGCGCGTCCAGGTCCACGGTTGGGACACCGAGACGAACAAAACGAGTGAACAGCGACTGCTCCATGTTGGAGTATTTCTGAAAGGCCATGTTCTTAATGACAGGAGGAAGCTGATGGTGATCTCCAATCATAATCCAGCGCTTCAGCCGACTGTAGCCATCCTCTGGGTTCTACGGGTCACATACACACACACGATATCAACAAGCACAACCTGAACAAACCTAAATAGGCTGATTTGACAGCTCTCCTCGAGTTATACAGTTGAGTTTTACCATTTTTGAGTTCATTCAGCCAATTTATGGGTCTGGCAGGAGCACGTTTAGATTAGCTTAGCTTAGCATAGATCATTGATTCGGATTAGACCGTTAGCATCTTGCTCAGAAATTACTAATGCGTTTGAATAATTTTCCTATTTGACTCTTCAATAATTTCATCAAGTACTTAAAATGACAGAAATTGAAAAGTTGCTAATTTCTTAGCTGATATGTACATACAAATATTATGTGTATTATGTGTAATATTATGATGCCTACTGTAGCCATGATATGGCAGCAAAATTCCTTATTTATTATGCCAGAATGTGAGTTTAGTTCCTAGTCATATCGGTCTAGAAACAGGAACTTTTCATTTTTGTTGGTCTTACTACAGCAAGTAATTACAGAAGAGTCGAGCCTTAAATAGATAAACGACCCAAACTCTTTTTTTTTTTTGAAAATTGAGTGAGATGCTAGCGGTCTAATCCGATTCAATGATCTATGCTAAGCTAAGCTAAGCTAAAAGTGCTCCAGACAGAACTGAAGATCAGCTGAATGGATTCAGAAACTGGTAAAACAACATTTTAACTCTAGGGAAGATGTAAAATGAGCCAAAACAAGTGTTCCTTGAACATTTGAAATTGAATTGGTTACAATGATTCTCTAGATGAAACCAAGATGCATAGGATCAGAAAATGTAGAACAGTTTATAAATAAGTAAACTAAATAAAGAAGATTAATGATAATAAATAGTACAAGAAAACTCGGGGTGTATTTGGGAGCGAGCGAGAGCAGTACCTGCAGCAGCAGAGGGATGAAGGTCTCAATCTCCAGGATTTGAGCTGCTTCCTCCATCAGGATATTATCATACTACAAACAAATCAATTTTTGTTAAATAGATATTCAGATCAACACAAATAAAAATATATTTCATAATAATCACAGCAACAATTTCATACATTAAGAGACAATCCAGTTTTAAATTAAACACAATAAATGTGAGTTTCACTTCGATATACAGGTAAAGTCAAAATTATTCGCCCTTCTGTGAATTTTTTTTTCCTTTGTCAAATTTTTCACAAATGAAATTGGAAGGATTCAGGAATTTTTCCACATTATTTCCTAGTGGTGTAACGATCAGAAATCTCACGGTTCGGATCACGTTATGGTGCTTTAGTCACAGATCGGACCATTTTTCGGATCAGCCAAAAAGGGGAGGAGACAAATGTAATTTGCTTTCCAATTATTACAAAAACAGTCCTGCAAGACACTTTTGGTTTTAACAAATAGAACTTAACAAACTTAATTTGATTAAAAATAAAATGAAGAACTAATCAGCTAAATTCATTCCTAAATATATCATTTTTAAATAATTATTCAGTGGCACATTTTTGTTGGCCACCTTTTGGTTAAACAATGTAACTGCTGCCTACAGCTTTCATTTTTGAGCACATGATGGTGATTTTAATCTTTACCATAAACATCAGTTGTTTCATCTAAACTACACACTGTTAATCCAGCACTGCCGTGACTGTTTATAACTTCATAACTAACTCAAAAGACTAAAGACTGAATCTCTTTCTGGATTTTTGCATTTTTCAAACAAAGATTTGAATTCAGCGATTTGAAGGATTAATAAGCATATGCAAATCACCATCATTTATAACTGATGTTGCGTGGGTGTTGAGATCCCGATCTTTTAATGATTAATTGTTCAGCTTACACTAAATGCATTGATGCAAGCAAAACAAGTAGTGACAGAAAACACCTTTAATAACCTAAGAAACCCACCACATCCTAAATTACTAGGGATGTAACGGTATTGTAAATACCGTCATACCGCAATATTAAATTTTTTCGATATTACCGAAGTCGCATGACTCGGTAAAACTATAGATCTTCTGAGAAAATTTGCTCAGGCGAATGAAGCGAACGGGAGGTAGCTGAAACTTCATTTCCCATCAGCCCCGGCGTGGCCATAATCCTTTGCAGTCTGTTGTCGCTACAGATCCAGTAATGCGGAAATGGAGTGTGCTGCTAGTAGCGGAGATGAAAAAAAGATGAAAATGATCGAACCTAAAGCGGGTGTTGTCGCCGCGCGCGTGCTGAATAGCGGTGCTGTCGCGCGCGTTCTGATCAGCTGTGTTGTGGCGCGCGTATTGTAAAGCGCCGAGGGGGGGTTGAGCGCGCCTACTGAAGGGCTGGACTGGACGGAGGTTGTGTCGCGTCGCGGGGGCACTTTTGATCGTTTTGGAAGGGCATTTTCTATCCAAGACTAAAAAGGGCATGTGCACTGCACAGGTTGAGCCCTATGTGTGCATGTGCCTGCAAGTTGGGGAATACGACTAATAACAGTCATGGGGACTGCAGAAACACAGCACACTGTTCAGATTGATGCAGACATTGACTTGTACCGCAAAGAGATCTCTATCTCACTCATGGTTTGTCTTCTCAAGTGGGGGAAAGACAATGCACAACGTTACCCACTGCTGTCAACATGGGCCAAGTCATATCTCTCTTGTCCCAGAAACCTCAGTCCCAAATGAGAGGGGTTTTTTCTGTTGCAGGGGACATTGTAAATACCCAGAGATACCAGCCTTTACCAAATTATAGTTATATGATAATTTTCCTTTAAACCCATCTCTATCTAAGTGAGTGATTAAATGTTGAATGTGATGAGTTTTCAACAATACTAAATTGAAACTTTATTTTTTTTTACATGGTTTAAAAATTTTTTGTTATTAAAATTGAAGTTCCTGTTTCAAAGCTTACAGATAGATGACTAATTTGTATGTCATTGACACTTTTGGCACTTTTTTGGAGTATTTTCAAAAGTTTTTTTTTTCCTGTAAATGATTCAATAAATACCGTACCGTGACATTCATACCGAGGTATTACCGTACCGTGAAATTCTGATACCGTTACATCCCTATAAATTACCCACTACAACTTCTTCCGTCATCATTATATTTTACAGGAAAGCCTAAAAGCTTTCATACAGGTGATCTGAATGATGTGAGAGGCCATTTCTCTGCGATCGTTACAAATTTAGGATTAAACTACAAGTTAAAACTAGAACCTAAAGTTTATTGATAAACTTTGATGTTGGCTTGAGAAAGCCAACGTGACTGCGCTAGGACTGGGAATGGCAGTTGGTAGGAAGCACGGTGGCGGTTGCTAAGTGGTTGCTAGGCAGTTGCTAAAACAATTATGGCATTGTTAGGTGGTTGCTAAGCAGTTGCTAAATGGCAATGCTCGTGTACTTGTTTGATCAAATGCTAATACTTAGAAGGCATTTCTAGAATATGTTATTGCATTTAGATAACCATTCATAGCATGTAGCTAATCGTTATTAGCACTTGGCTTCCATTATCATTGTTACCATGCATAGTACACAGGAAGTCCCATTTGCTAGCATGAGTCAAACAAGCCAATGGCCAGGTCCCTACGATGTTCTGATGTAGAGATATTGCTATTTTTAAATGGTTGCTAGGTTATACTGTTTTATTGCTATGGGGACATTTGACAGGTTAGTGATGATACATCAAAGCTTCTTGGCAATATGAGTGATCTTAATCAACCCCGATGTTTCCATGACAGTCTTTATGAGTGTCAAAAACTGGACTTGAACATCATGTATTCCTGGTGTTGGGTTGCGGCTGGAAGGGCATTCGCTGTGTAAAACAAATGCTGGATAAGTTGGCGGTTCATTCCGTTGTGGCGACCCCTGATTAATAAAGGGACTAAGGGAATGAACATTATGTAAAAATGGCTTGCCGTATTTTTTTGAAAATACAATGCTAATAAGTGTGAAAGTGATACATGCAAAAATGGCTTGCCATATCAGTAAAAAATATGGAGTTTAAGTCAAAAATGGCTTGCCATATTTTAAGAAAAATAATGCTTAAAAATTATTTATTGGAAAACTATAAGTCTGATAAACCTTAAAGATATAGCAACAAAATCTAACGCATCTAAATACAGCTTTTGGCCAAATTTGGGGCTTGTATAATTTTTTTATATGCCCGGATTATAAAAATGTAATATTTAACATTTTTTATTAAAAAACAATAAGTCTTATAGGCATGAGGAGATATAGCAACAATCTTGAATGCAGAAGGCACATTTTGACCACATTTGGGCCTTGTGGCATGAACGACCTAGGAGGAGATGCGTTTGTTTTCAAGGACAGTGTAGCATAACAGTATGTTGGCTTTCTCAAGCCAACATAAATATGCATTTATCTTCAGGTCACGTGTTCCGAACTGTGGGTTGTGATCTGTAGGAATACCGAATCAACCGTGATCCATTACACCCCTAGTATTTACAATAATATTTTTTTTCTTCTGGAGAGAGTCTTATTTGTTTTATTTTGGCTAAAATAACAGCAGTTTTAAATAGTTTTAAACCCATTTTAAGGTCAATATTATTAGCCCCTTAAGCAATATTAGTTTTAAATTGTGTCCAGAACAAACCACTGTTATACAATGACTTGCCTAATTACTCTAACTTTACCCTAATTACCCTAGTGGAGCCTTTAAATGCCACTTTAAGCTGAATACTAGTGTCTTGAAGAATATCTAGTCTAATATTATTTACTGTCATCATGACAAAGATAAAATAAAACAGTTAATAGAAATGAGTTATTAAAACTATTATGTGCTGAAATGTGTTCTGTAATCTTCTCTCCGTTAAACAGAAATTACAATTCAACAGGAGGGCTATAATTCAGACTTTAACTGTATGAATGGTGCCTTAGTCAAAACATAGCAGGATGTTAATTTTGGTCCAAATCACGCAGCTCTAACTAACAGCATGTGCTCAAAACTTTAAAAGCATTATATCAAATGCACATAAATGAGAATTACACATCCAGACCGCTCCTCAGTATTACCTTGAAGCCAAGCTCCACCAGATCGTGGCGTTTGAGGGCCGCGTGTGTGCAGGTCATGGCGATGATCTTGGCTTCTTTAACCAGCAGGTATTTGGATCTGTCCAATCCGCTGCGCAACAGCTCAAACGCCCTGAACTCCTGCGGGACACACACAGATGAGTTTATCAAGCACCATCGCTAAAAACACCAGCAACGTTGTTGGTTTTGTTTACCTGTAAAATCACGTCAGAGTAACACAACTGTGCATCTTAAAGCAACACTACAGCAATTTGTTCATGAAAGGATCGCTTTTAAACGAATCGCGTGAATTTCAACACTCAAATTAAAGATTGTGTATTTATCCGAATAATCGAACTAAAGAGAAATCGAATTAAGATGTGTGGTGGATGCCGATTTTAGTCGCATTATTGAAGCGCATTACAGACATGTGAACAGCTTAATCGAATTATTACCCTCATGTAGGGCTTTTCGCCAAGTTTTGCGACAGGATACACGCACACATGCACGCACAGCTGTTTGACGCTCTTTGCACCCACCGAGTCAGTGCAGACCACAGACACCTGCATCGAGAAACGCGGAGCTTTTTTTCTTCCATTCAGCATGCAGTATCCGCTTGTTACGTGTGACGTCACGCGAAGCGGCTTCCGAGTCCAAGCGCTCTATTCAACTGAATGGGGAGACTCATGAAATGGTAATAATAAACGTTTACAAAGCGATTTAATGCTTTCGAAAATCACGATCGCAGTATATATGTCCATGCCTAATATCCGATGGTCAGAAAAGGAATCATTTTTTTAATAATTGTAAATTTTTTTGTATTTGTTAAGCAGCAAGCCCAGAGATTGTTGTGTACACTATGATTTTATATAAAATTAACTTTAATGTGTGATAGGAATAAAACGTGATCATAAACGAATGATTTCTCCACTCAAATGAATGCCGGCTTGGACCCGGAAACAGTATTACATACGTCACAAACACGTCACCACTTAACAAGCGGATGAACTTCCTTTAAAACAACACTCTTCCAGCAGTTCATAGTTGCATCCAATATCTCGTTTGTCACGGGGGGCGTGCCCGAATGAATGTGAAAGTGCCAAATCACAGTTAAAGTCGACAAATTAATAAGGAAACACCCAAAATTACATGAAACTTTGGAGGAAATGCTGATAGCGAGGTGACGCAATGACGGTTAATCTAAGTATGCGGTATAACATGTAAAACGGGATCATGAAACAAACACTATAAAAGCAGCTCATGTAAACGCCTTAATCTTAAAATCGTCTATATTAAATCAAGGCAAATAATTTGATTACTGATGCCCATGTAAACGTAGTCAGTGATCACCCCAGCTACTGATTATGGGCTTTATTCAGTGTTAAAGGCTACTAATATGAGTTTAAACACCATTATACATGACATTTACTGCCATATGACTGAAAGCAGCAGCAGATAATTCATCTCAGATCTTGAAAATAAAGTAGCTAGCAAACATGTGAGAACTGTGAATTGGTGCAAACCACCAAACATCAGACACTCAGCCTGTACTTTTAATAATGCTAAAGAAATTTAATATGTATTAATTAGATTATAAACATTATTCCTTTGGAAGTACAGCACACTATTCTGCATTTCTGCATGGCTGCTATTAAAATCTTTCTGTCAGTCTACATCAGGGCTATTCGATTGGCAGCCCGAAGGCCGAACCCGGCCCCTGAAGCAATTTGTTCTGGCCCTCCAAATAACGTGACCAAGACATAAAAATAAATTTAGTTCAGTCGAAAAACAGCTGCTATAGCTATGAAGTGACGTGCGTCTGTTCAATTCAGTATGAGCTGCAGAGGCGTGGTTCACCATAACGCCCTATTCACACGGGTCGTCAGCGTCAACGCTTCCCATTCACTTTAAATGGGTGACGTCAGGCGTTGCCGAACTGCATTGTGGATCCGTCGGCGCCGCTTCAGAAGCGTTCCTCGCTGCAGAAGTTGGGACCAGCTCAACTTTTCAAGCGCCGACGGAAGCGTCAGCCAATCAGATCGCTGTATGCAAATACACCAGCTCAGACAGTGGCCTATTGCTGACTGAATTTCATTGGCTGACGCTTCTATGACGACCGTTTCAGCTCCAAATTCAGACACGCCCTCTGTCAAGCGTTGACGCTGAAGCCCCGTGTGAATAGGGCGTAAGCGAGTTTTGCGGACAGCCGAAAGCATTTGGATATGTTTTGTAGAAAATGCCTTTTGTACAATGCACTGTAATCATTAATAGGGATGCAACGATTAGCTGATTTCACTATTAACTGCGCTTTAATTCGTCACAGTTAATTAATCGTAAAGGCTTCTCTAAGCCGCATTTCTGTTGCACGGAAAAGTTATGACAAGTTGCCAACTGTGCGCTAGTTTAAAGTTCCAAGTATATACATCGAGGCTAATACGCACGCACACCGGATTAACTATAGCAGCGGCCGTTCCCATATCACGTCTTTTCCGCTTGTAAGTTTGTTATTTCTAATGTAAGAAAGACAATATGAGCGTACAAGCGGAGCAACGCGCTTGTCTCTGTCGGGACGCACGCAGTAGAAAACATCTCATGGTGACAGTTGTGCGTGCCTTTCCGTGCAATGTCAACAAAAGATATGTTAGACGAATTTTTATTAAAATTATTACATACGCATGAACCCAGATGATAACAACAGTTAATCTAAATAGCTACTTCCCTAATATAAAGCTTGTTGTTCTAATTTACATTAGACGTGATCACCGTGAAAGGCAAGGCAAGTTTATTTATATAGCACATTTCGTACACAGTGGCAACTCAAAGTGCTTTACATAAACAAGAATAAAAGAAACAAGTAAAATAAATATAAATAATAAATAATAAAGATGATAAAAGAAACATAAAAACAGGTAAAATGTGATTTAAAAGAATGATAAAGAAGAGAAAAACACAATAGTGCGATCTGTCGGACGCAGCACAGTGCTCATTCAGTAAAGGCTCAGCTAAACAGATGTGTTTTCAGTCTTGATTTGAATGTGCCTAATGTTGGAGCACATCTGATCATTTCTGGACGCTGATTGAAAAGTAAAAGCATGATTATTCCTAGGACTGCATCGTACAACCAAAATCTATAATGTTGCATCACTAATTGTTATGCTGTTCAAAACATAACATATGAATGTGTCTGAATGTAGAAGAAGCCTACTTCAGCAATGCCCTGCTTTTGTTGTGCGAAATACAACATTTGAATGTTTGTAAACAAAAAAAAAGTAAATTGGACAATGCAGTTGTTTTAAAATACAATATATTAACATTTTAATGTGGAAAAAGCCAATGTGGGTGTCTTTATGAGCACAAATACAGCATATGGGCTCTTATATGTTGTTGTGTCATCACTCATACCGTACGTTCACACCGAAAGCGGCGAGAGCGTCCAAAGGTCGCTCTGGCCACCCTGGCGACAACGCTGTCTGCCTTCAGCTCCGGCGGCGAGAGCGTCAAAACTCGCTACATTGATCTCGTACTTAAAGGAGCCGTTGCAGCATATCAGTTACATTCCTGCATAAGGCATGTTTTAGCGTGAAAATGTTGCGCACTTTTTATCAAATTCATATAACAATGGAAGATCAAGTTGCGTGTGGTGCGGCTTTGCTCTATTTATCCAATATGTGTCCATATGTCTGAAATATCCTGAAGCAGCAGTACTGTTTTGTACTGTCACATCGCGTGAGATTCCCGCTTTTTAAAGATAAATTTATATAACATTAATGAACATCAGTAACTCGCCAGTGACTTATTTAATGTATATTCCTGTAAGAAAACATTGTAAATAATTGGAAATGCGGCGACCGCAATAATCAAACCCTTCGGAACAACTGTGGTCGGAACCAAAGTTCACAGGTCTGTGTTCCCTGAACTGCTATCAAGCGGTGGACGTCTTCATTCTGATTGCTTGCCGCCGAAACGCGTCATAGCTCATTACCATAAAGTTGATTTCATTTCAACTCTCCTCGACGCTCACGCCGGCGAAGACGCGCCGCTCTGCTCCTCGCCGCTTATCGTCGCCTATCGCCGCCGGCTCTCATTGAAAATGAATGACTTCCGGCTACTTTGACGCTCTCGCCGCTTTCGGTGTAAACGTACGGATATAGCAAGTCATATCTCTCCCGCCCTTCGTTTGGGATGCTTTTCATGAACCGGCCCCCATGCCAAACTAATTGAATAGCCCCAGTCTACATTATTAGGTAATGACCTAAATCAAGGAGTGTATTAGACTCTATTCAACTGATCATCTATTAGAGCCATTCGCTAATCAACTACGCAGCTTTGTTAAGAGCTCATAAGTAAAAGCCAACACAACATTTAACAAAATGACTATGAATTCCAGTGAGGTGAGATTGTGTTTCCTTCTACTTCCTGTCATTTGTCAAGTAACAGCATCTCTCATTACACTTAAGATGTGGAGTATCTGTTTCTGTTCAATACGGTCTCAGGTCTGCGCAGAGAAGAGAGAGCTTAACCCAGCTGGATTATTTCAGGACCGATTCCAGTGGGAAATGAATATTTGATGCACTTCTGCATTAATATTAAGCCCATCAAAGCATTCAATATTGATGAGGCCACTTTTTTAACCCCGAGACTCCAGCAGCGGCGCTCGAGGGACAGAGATGGCCGAACAAAGCCGGACACAAACACACACATGCTCATGACGCACAACTTTACGTCTTTGTTGGCAACAGAGGAGCACAAAGGATGAAAGGATGGGAATCAGCATGAAAGAAGGGGCCATCCCAGAATAATGGGCTTATAGAGAGAGGGGGAGATCGTTATTGATCAGCCGAGCAAACCACAGGTTTAATGCTAACCTGAACTCAACTGACGGCTCATTCAAAAGTTAGCATCCCAAACATTATGGCAAATGCTTTGATAAAAGATGGTGATCCGTGCTTCTCTCAATTATCCAGCTAGCTCTCGGCAGCTAGCTTGATCACATGGCTAAGCAGGGTTGTGCCTGTACCTGGATGGGAGAACAAATCAAAAACACTAGAGCCACTTTTTTGAGTCCAAACCATTCATGCAGGCATGGTTATAGGTTGTGTCGCATTGCAATTGGTTTTTATTTCAGATGACTTTTTAGGGCTCAGAATAAAGGTTTTACCAAATTCATCTCTAACCACATTAAAAAGAAATAATTATTACTTAGCCACATATTTAAATGTGTCAAAACAAGCAAATATATAGCTGTATACATGCACTTTTTATTCAACAAAAATTAAAAAGATCTATTGTCATGCATCTAAAATATGCACAGTAGTCTGTCCTGGCTAAAGGACCCAGATCAGCAATTAACTACACACACAAATGGGGAGTTAATCTCATATTAAAGAAATGTTATTGTAAAGGATGATAATTAAACTATATTAACAAAAATAACTGTAAGCAAAAGAAAGCAGGTAAAACAATACCACGAGTGATAATGATAGGATGATCACGTGCCTGAGAATAATTAAAACGAAAGCAGTGACTGCTGCTGCTGCTGCTTACAAATATATAGTTATTTTTCAATCTTGAGATCTTTAAAGCAGCAGGACTGTGGGTACACGAGCGTCGTTTTTTTGTCTAGTCTTTTTCAAAGAAAACCGATCGCAAGTGGACGGAAAAAAGCGCAAGTAAATAGGAGTGTGTGCGCTTTTAACAGTCGCACGCATCACATCACCTGTGTGCGCGAGTGATCATCCTCTAATACGGTATTCACCTGCTTTGTCCCGCGAGCACAATTATTATTTTCAGTCGTCCTGCTTCTCGATTCTAAGATCACATTTGCACGCATATTGGACCATCCTTACTGTCGAACTCTGCTTTAAGAAAACTACAATGTAAAAATGATTTCCAACCTGCCAAAGTGGCTAGTGGGAGCGGCTGTCTAGCCCGCCAAAGCTGAAATCTACCCGCATTTAGTAGGTGTTAATGTAAAGCCTTGGTTATAGACCATTTTGAGGGATGTAAACAACATTTGGTCCTACAAAGGTCCTAACGTAATGTTTTACATTTTATTTATTTCTATAAAGCTTTCAAGAATCCAAAAAGGTCTGTGTATTGAAAAACAATGTTATGATAGCTGTTTTAATGCTGAGTTAGGACTGAATTGCCTCTTGTTATAGCTATAAAATTGTTTAACAACAAGCAGGAAATCACCACACTGAAATGGTCTTTAATTTTCCATAAGAGAAATGGTGCAGCTTGATTGTAAACCAGTTTTTGGACTGGAATTCTTGGCATGATTAGACAACTGTTATTGAGGGTTTCTGCAGCTTTTACCAAGTTAAATTTAAGACTTTTTAAGACATATTTAAGACCATTATGAATGAAAATTGAGACTTATACAGGGCTAAACACTAAGGATTTATTTTCGAATTCCCCAGTTGGAAAAGATTATCCTAATCAAAAATAAATTAATTTAATACATTTAATAATGCAACAGAAATAACTGTCATTTAATAACACGAAAATATAGATCAGGCCAGTATCTTCAGCAGTAAATGCATGGAGAACTTTAAAAACAAATGTTATTGTAAGGATATTTATTAAACCATTATGGCCAACATATAAACAAAGGAAAATTAGCACCCGTTTAAAAAGGTTTATGACCTACAAGTAGGGCTGTGCAATTAATCGAAAATCCGATTTCGATTTCGGCTTTTAACGATTATGAAAAACCATTAATCGAGATAAACGATTATTCCATCACGTACCGCCCCCTTTCCAGTTGTACACTTGTGAAAACTCTCTGCCTCTGCAAAGCTCAGTTCCACGTGAAAATGACTAAAAGCATGTGCTGTGATGTAACTTCTGCAGCACGGGATGCGCATCGTTCATATTTTTAAAAGTGCATAAGAGCACGTGCTGTTGTGTGTGTGCGCGCCGTGCTTAGCCTCTGACAGGTAGCGTGTGTGTTTGGGCACACGCCGCGCTTAGCCTCGGACAGCAGAGCACACACACATCTAACGCGATCTTAATGTGAGCGCTTTAATGGTCAAACACATGCACATTTGTGTCAGAGCGCGGTGTTTAGTGATTATTCATATTAACCCTCATTTGTGTAATAACAAGTTGAGAATCAAAAGACACGAGAAAGAGAAACCATATCAGAGCCGCACCATTCTTAAAGTGACAGCGTGCGACATTCCTGCTGCTGCCCACTGTTTTTATCATTAATCAATAATAAAATCAAAAATACAGTGAAGATGCTTAAAGCGCAGTTTAAACAACAGATTTAATAACTCATTTCTAATAACTGATTTCTTTTATCTTTGCTATGATGACAGCACATTATATTTTACTAGATGTTTTTCAAGATACTCAGCTTAAAGTGACATTCAAAGGCTTCATTAGGGTAAATAGGCAAGTCATTGTATAACAGTAGTTTCTTCTGCAGACAATCTAACATATATATTGCTTAAAGGGGCTAATAATATCGAGCTATTAAAATAGGTTTCAAAATATTCAAACCTGCTTTTATTCTAGCTGAAATAAAACAAATAAGCCTTTCTCCAGAAGAACAAAAATATTATAGGAAACACTGTAAAAAAAACCCTCTGTTAAACATCATTTGGGAAATATTTATAAATAAAAATAAATTCACAGAAGGGCGAATAATTTTGACTTCAACTGATAATCGTTTTGAATAATTGTGATTACAAGTATGACCAAAATAATCGTGATTATGATTTTTCCCATAATCGAGCAGCCCTACCTACAAGGCAATATTACAGTGAATGTAACGCCCCATTCACACGGGGCTTCAGCGTTAACGCTTCCAATTCACTTTGAATGGGTGACGGCAAGTGTTGCCGAACTGCATTGTGGATCACTCGGCGCCGTTTCAGAAGCGTTGCTCGCTGGAGAAGTTGGGAGATACTCAAGTTTTCATGCACCGACGGAAGCCTTAGCCAATCAGATCGCTGTATGCAAATACACCAGTTCAGACAGCAGCCGATTGCTGACTACTTTTATTGGCTGACGCTGCTATGATGATCGCGTCAGCCCCAACTTCAAACACGCCCTCTGTCAAGCTATGCACCGCAAGACTTTTTACATTTAGTTATTTAAATTTAAGACATTTTAAGACCCCACAGACACCCTGCAAATGTTTCAGAGCAGGTCTGAAGGACTCAAGTAGCTTGTCTAGGTGTGCTTTACTGTTAAAAACAGCAACATCTTATTATATACACATCTGTCCCCTTTCCAGTCGTACCTCCAGCTGGGTGAAGATCTTGCGTATGTGCCGGTAGCATCCCTCAGCGATGTCCATGTCCTCCTGGAAGGACTGTCCTCTGAACACCGGCTGAGGAGCGTTGGAGAAGTACTTGTGGAAGGGAAAGTGTGTCGCCACGTCCTCCGTCGGCACCTCTCGGCCAGGCTTCGGCTTCACTTTACTCATGTATTCCTCCCAGCGAGACATTATCTACACCCCACACACACACACACACGAAGAAAGACAAACAGATAAGAGCAGCGCCTGGGGACTTGATGCGCAGAACTCATTAAGAGCGCGTCGCTGGACAAACAACCTCGTCAAAATCCACACTTAATTACTGCAGCACGTGTCTGCCTGTAATCTCTGATCGGAGGTAATGGTGCGTAAACGATCCCCCGAGGAGCCGATATGAATCTGCAGACCACAGTGTGACGATCGAACCACGGAGAGAGAGATAAGATGAAAACAAATGAGTGTGTGTGAACATCAACACGACACACCAGCACATCTCAATCTGACAGACTGGCTGCTGGCAGAGTTTTCAAAATGTATTTTAGTCTCCTATTTTCTGCAAATAAGAAAGCAACTGAGGTATTTACTTACTGTTACAAGGGCTGCACGATATATCGCTTCAGCATCGAAATCACAATATGCGCATCTGCAATAGTCACGTCAACAGCTCTGCAATGTTAAGTTTGAATTGTAGTTGACCAGAAGCCACAGAACTGATCTGATTTGTAGAGTCATGGCAAAGTTTAACCATAATAAGAGTGAAAGTTTATCAGTTGCATGTGTTTTTAAGGCCTTTGAGGACTTTAAGAGAGTTTGGCCACAAAAAGTATGATGTTTGGAGGTGTAACCGATTCATTGTACTTATACGTTTATACAATTTATGCAAAAAAAAAAAAAGTTATTCTTAGAGTTTTTGTCTAGTTTCTAGTCCAAATATCTACATTTCAAAGCAAAATATTGTTATTTTAATTACCCCATTGGAGTATCATTTTGCCTGTTTTAAAGGGCCATGACACCCCCCACTTTCGGTTAAAGTCTACTTCAGAATTTTTTCAAAAGATGCATGATTAATGGGCGGAGCTCCGCGTGCATCGGGCAGGAGTGGGCGTGGCCAGCAGGGGAGAAGGTGAGCGAACAACTGTTGTTGTCAGTTAGCTCACAAAATGAGACACAAACCGTGAGGAGACGCATGAGTTTATAGTTTACGAAGTTAAAATGCAAAGAAATGAACAGTGATTTAATGCCCTGCTACATTTGTTATTCGTAATTTCATAAACAGAAAACCACAATTTATATCATTATAAAGATAAGTGTGTTCATGTAAACACTATAAATGAGGATTCTCCCTCAATCCCCGTATCCAGCAGACTCAGTGCAGCAGGTCTCCTGACCTGTCTATTTTAACCATTAACCCTGCTGGTAATCTGGAGGATTTAGGCAAACACAGCAGCATGGCGATGTGTCTGAATGTGAATGAACTCCTGATAAAAGACAGCATCCGCCATTCTCTAATTCTCGTGCTGCTCTCCCTACAAAAATGCTAGCAGCACACACACAGCTTTGCTGTATGATCGGCCCTGACAAGATCGCTGGGGAAAACATGCAACAAACCCCGTGGATCATGGAAACAAACACATACGAGCCTTCATGAACGGCTAAATACTGTGCCGTGGTTTCCGTGTCTCTCAGCTCGGGCTTGACACTGGCAGGTCTCATGAATAATTAAGCAGCCGGCTCTTCTCATAGGATAAGAAAAGTCCGCTCTGAATAATAATGAGAAACCGACGCCTCATCATTGCACTTGCAGTTCGGCGCTACGTCGCTGATTTTGATCCGCCCCAAAAATCATTTTAAACCCGGAAGCTGAAATGAGCTGACAAAAGCTCAAAATTATCCAGTTTCCCCCACAATTAAAGCTGACAGGTGCTAACACTGTCTTAACTGATGCTCAACACACACAAATCTGTTAATATAAAAAAAAAAAGTTCTGCGGGGTGTCCTGAACCTTTAAGGAAAAACTCACTTAATTTTGACTTATTTAATTTGAAGGCGAGAAAATAAATAGACAAACAGACCTTTAAGGTTTTCTGCGAAGTGTAACAGTATTCAACTACAGAAATTGAACAAACAAAAGTAAAACAGCATGGTCGTCATTGTATAAAAATATTTAAATACATATAAATTTATTAATATCTTTTGATCTTTAAAGGTGCTGTACGGAAGTTTTTGACTCTTCTAAAGCATAAAATTACTATAATATGTTTGCGATTGAATGTATCTAAGTGAACATCTGAAAAACATGGCTGAAATATTCTGCTTTGAACATGTGAGTTACGTGCAGGAACGTCCGTCATTGTTTTGGTCCCCTTAACCCGCCCACTGCCACTTTAGCCAATTATATTTCAGCACCCCGGGTTGCCTTGGTGAAAAACAGCATATTTGATTCATTCAGTAAAGAGTATGTGTCCGTGACCAAAATGCGACCTCAGGTGGACAGTAGCAGACTCTGAAATGAGACCCAGATTCAAAGTTCCACATGAGGTTATTAAATAGCAAATGACATAAAAATTACGAGCGTAAATATTAGGTGAGCAGGTTTACAGCTCTAAAGTTCAATTTCTAATGGTTTATTTTATTCTCCAGATCTGAGGTGTACTATCTGCTGCTGATTACAGAAGTATGGCAATAAATGTGACGTAAAATAGCATTCAAACTCGCATTATTAGCATTTAACACTGAATGAAGCACATGAGGTGTACCTGAGCTGATCATTGTCAGTTTTTTGTTGTTCAGCTGTGAGAAATAGAAGACCTATATAAAATAGAAATTTCAGGTGTTGGTTAGGACAAAAACTCCTTTTAATATGGAAAATATTCCATTTGTCTCGTGCCGTTGCTTTTATTATTTACAACACGACTTAAATCAGCCTTTAGGCACGATAGTGAGGCATACTGCTGTTTGTGTTGTCAATCTGGCAACTTGCTCTTGTGTGTTTTGAAGCAGGAGTGCAATCCCTAGTTCAACCACTGGGTGTCAAACTTACATACTGTACCTTTAATAAATAATCTAAGCCTGTCATTTGACTATTGTAGATACAGACACAGCCATATTGATGCTTAAAGGGTCACGAAACACCAAAACACATGTGTTGAGCTGTTGACAGTCGTATATGTGTCCCACACTGCTAAAAACACTATTAGGACACCTATATTTCACTAAAAAGTGTAAAATGGTTGTTTTTGCGTTATTTCAAGCAAATTCGTACTTCCTGTTTGAAACAAATTTTTGAAGCTGCGTCACGGTCATGACATAATAGCGTGTATTCCAGCGTGCAGACTGGACGTCTGTGCCAGAGTGAGTCTTATTACGTCTTACAGTGTGATGCATTAATGCATGAGTAAGGCTTGGTTCAAACCAATCAGCGCGCTCTATTGTGCAACTTCATTAATATTCATTAGTGTCACCGTGTTTACACCACAGAGACGCCACGTTGTGTTGGCAACACAAGCGTGAAGTGTTGCTTTTATAGTTTGCTGCAGTTAAGTTTCGTTTTCATTTTCTCTCTGTGAGAGCTCAGACTCACGTGTGGATTACAGTGTACGCGGCGCTCGACAACAATAACTTACGTGTCTAAGGAGGATTATTGTTTACCTGAGAGCTGTTCTCATCTGCAAACGCTGAAATCTGGATTTGCTTGTAGTATTCTCTCCATAAAGACGCGGCTCTAGTTGCTGGTGATTGTCCTGTCTCTACAGATTTGGTAAGTGAGCGACCAGTGCTCTTTGTTTATTCAGTTTGTTCGTATCGAATAAAGTTAACTATTGCACTGAGTGCAGAAATGTTAGCACCGCATTTTGTGACCGGAATAACACACGCGGCTTTCTGACGCTACCTGCCGTGTGCATCTAAGTTTCTGGGAAATGCAGAGTTTTTTTTTCTCTCATTCGCCGTGCGGTATCAAACATTGCATGAAAAATACACGCTTAGAGCAGATCCTCGAATCAAATATCGCGTTTGTCGCGAGGGACATGAATGAATTCCCTGAAGGAAAGAGCCAAACTGCAGTTAAAGTCCAACATTTAATAATTTGACAAATAATTCGACTACAGATGTCCATGTAGGTTAAACACCATCACTTTCTCAAGTGTGTGTATTTTGACTGAAACTCGCGCGCGCCCAAATAGACACTCCCACACCATCCCACTTTAGTTCCTCCGACACTCCTCCCTAAACAGAGCTGGACACGCCCACTTTTCTGACTTTTTCCAAAGTAGAGGTGTGAAAACACCCTGCTGAAACGAGGGGGTTTCATGGCCCTTTAAATGATATATACCTCAGCCCTTACTGTAACTATTACATAACTGAGATATTTATTTACAATTTTGAACAACCCATGGTCCTTGGTGATTCGTATTCAGTTCGAGTTCATTAGTATAACGCTTTTCTCAATAATTATTGTTTCAAAGCAGCTTTACAAAAGGTGCGCATTATTGCATTATATTAAAAATCAGGAAAGTTAAGGTTATTAGTTCCCATAACTCTATTAGTTACTACTTTAACTAATTAACTAGTAACTAACAGCTTTTACCAGTGGAAGTTATCATTTATAAACATAGTTGACCTGCAGTTAAATAGTACATAGTCTAGTGTTTCCTCTAGGATTTTTTCCAGCTGTGGAGGCAGGCCTTTTCTCACTCAGATCTACCAACTACCTGTGGTGTTATTTCAATGAAAAATGTTGTGAGTGCAGTATTACAAATCGAGATTGCATTTATGTAATAGCCTACAGCATGCGAATCTCTTTGCTTGCGCGCCGATTTCCTTTGCTCGTGCACAAAACCTCTTGCACGCCCCCTCAAATATACGCTGCTTAAGCGCAGATCTTCTTGTGCGCTCTCAAATAAACGCTGCTGAAGTGTGATTTAGTGCGTTTATGTAACACCTATGTCATTTATTAGATTTGCTAGGAATATTTATGAATGTATCCAATAGACCTGCAGAGTGGCATTAATGCGTCCTGAAGTAAAGTGAAACGGCTATACGTCGTGTTTGTTGGCCTCATGCATTACGCACCTGTCAGTCAGTCAGCACCCTACAGTCTATGGTCAGCATGTAACCTTAAAAGGTTAAACAAATAGCACTACTACGGTTACAGAAAAGTTTGTTTTGTTATAATTCACTTACCTTTTAATACGTTTTGGTGCGATTATTAACTGCAATTAAAATAAAACACGACAATGTTTCGAATGAGAAGCTGTAATGTAGCTGTGGCGGGATAAATTTCGGCGTGGCGCCCCGCCATCGAAGAATGAATATAGCGGAAACCGTGTAGTCTATAGTACATAATGTGCACATGTTAAATATAGTGCATTTGTGTATCTGTTGTCCTTGAAGTCTCCGAAATTTGGCTTTATCTCCTCACAGGATAAAAGAGCATTTTCTACAGGTGGTTTGCCAAACCCACTCACCTGTGTGTCAGATTTGCATTGATGGTTTTTCATACTGTTCAGTTTCTTGCACAGATTGGTTGTTTTTCTTCATTAAGACATTAGCGCGCCAACAGGAGCCACGAGGATTGATTTGAGCTTGTTTGTATGTGTTTATTTTGAATCTAAAAGCCAATCATCGTTCACTGCCATTACATGATTCACCAAAGACCACAGATTCAATCTAACAATCTAAAAACTCACCTACACCTTCAATGGCCTAAGAAAGAGAGTTTATTTATTTCCACATCAGCAACTCATGGCTATTTCATTGCAAGATCAATATACATAAAAACATGATGCATGATATTATTTAAATGATATTAATTACATGATAGGAACAACTTCATATTTCAATAAGAGATGATACACAAACAAATATAGAAATATAAAAAAAATATCACAAAAACTGCATATTGGAAGTGAAATAAGATTTTTAAATTCAATATTCGATAAACAACTTAAAATTTGTCCTGGTGAAACCTTTATAAAATCATCCATCAAAATGTTTTCATTATAAAATCGTGTCCGATGGTACATTTACATTCTAATAAAATATGCGTTTATGGCAAGAGCAGCTTAACCATAATTACATGTGTGTGGTGCATCATTATTCAATAAATACAAATGAGTCAACCTAGAGTGGCCAATTGGGCATCTGGTATAAACAGGCCTGAGAGGGAGTAAACTAACTGTACATTTTCATTGTTGAGTGAACTAGCCCGTTAAGACAGTGTTTCCCAACCCTGCTCCTAAAGGCACACCAGAAGTACACATTTTCAACCTCTCCCTAATCAAACACACCTCAATCAACTCATCAGAACATAAGAAGAGTGTCCAAAACCTGAAGTTAATGGTCAGATGAGGGAGACATCCACACTAAGGGCCTACTCACACTATGCCATCCGTACCGTGCCCAGGCCTGTTTCCCGGATCGTTTGAGAAGTGTGAGTGCGTTGAATCGGGCTCAAGCACGGTTCACTTGGCCGGCCCTGGCCCGGTTGGAAGAGGTGTGCCTGAGCGCGGTTCACTTGGGCTTTGGCGCGGTACATTTGTGTGTGAGTGCAAAACGCACCAAAGCCCGAAACTGAAAGCGAGACGTGACTTTTAAGGGACTGTTTGATATGGATTTATTAATCATTCTTACTGTTCAGTGAACGCAAACTGTCGTAGTTTATTAAAGACGCAAACTCCTCACAGCACGACAGCTGCACCTTCAGCAGACCTCCTCATTCCTGCAGCACGAGAGCTTTATGATTGTTTATGAGCGCCAAAAGTGGCGCATCTGTACGGCGAAATATCTGACTGCGTGTCACCGCATCCCTAAGGACTGTTTGGCGAAATAATTGACTGCATGTCAAACGACTGAAAGGATATAACTAGAGAAATCTCCACTGTGCTACTGGGTGAGAGCGTATGGCAAGCCGTTTTAGCATTTAAACCTTGTTCAGACTATCCATAAATATATTTAGAGATATCTCTAATTATATTTTGACTTGTCATAATTATAATTCGACTAGTCAGATTGGAGATATCTGCAAATATATTATGACTGACTAGTCATATTCCTCCATTGACTTCCATTGAAAAATATTTGCAGATATCTCTAAATGAGTTTTGATTAGTCACAATTGTAATTAGAGATATCTCCAAATGAATTTTGACTAGTCAAAAATTAAATTAATTAGAGATATCTTCCAATATATTTGTAAATATCTCTAAATATGATGAATTAAAGACATCTCTAAATGTATTATGACTAGTAAAAACTCAGAGATATCTCTAATTACAATTGTTACTAGTCAAAATTCATCTGATTTCGTACTAGTACAATTGTAATGGCAGATATCTCTAATTGTTATTCTGAGTAGTGGAATTATAATTATGACTAGTCAAAATATAATTAGAGATATCTCTAATATATTTATGGAGTCAGAACAAAGATTTAAATGCTAAAAAGGCTTGCCATAGAGAGCGCTTCTCACTAAACAGAGCAGCAGCGATGACGTAAGCGTGCAGAGGCCCGATATGGTGTGAGCGCGGGCCGTCGGGGGAGACGGGAGGGGGGACAAGTGTGCTTAGGCCCGGTTCGAGGCAACTGTACCTAGTGTGAGTACGGCCTAAGTACTGTTGGTGTGCCTCTAGGAACAGGGTTGAGAAAAACTGCTTTAAGTGACCAATCTGAATGCAGAGATTGAGCTTGTGTTTTTTCACAGACGTTCGGATCATGTTCAGAGAGTCATGACAGAGGTGTGTGTGATCCAGTACCTGGTAGAGATAGAAGTGTCCTGCAGTCTCACAGGTGTAGGAGACGTCACCGGGAACATCTAAACTCTCCTGCAGACGCGCAACCTCCTGCAGGAGCTCCAGACGTCTGGACAGCACATAGTTGACTCGTCCATATCTGGCGCACGCACACGCACACGCACACGCACACACACACAGACACACACACACACACACACACACACACACACACACACACATTAAGTATGGATCATGTCCCATCAAGACATTTTGTATAAATCAAAAATTAATTGTTGATAGAGAATTAGAGAATGGCGGACGCTGTCTTTTATCAGGAGTTTGTTCACATTCAGACACATCGCCGTGCTGCTGTGTTTGCCTAAATCCTCCAGATTACCAGCAGGGTTAACGGTTAAAATAGACAGGTCAGGAGACCTGCTGCACTGAGTCTGCTGGATACGGGGATTGAGGGAGAATCCTCATTTATAGTGTTTACATGAACACACGTATCTTTATAATGATATAAATTGTGGTTATGTGTATATGAAATTATGAAAAACAAGTGTAGCAGGGCATTAAATCACTGTTCATTTCTTAGCATTTTAACTTTGTAAACTATAAACTCATCCGTCTCCTCTTTGTGTCTCATTTTGTGAGCTAACTGACAACAGCAGTTATTCGCTCCCCTTCTCCCCTGCTGGCCACGCCCACTCCTGCCCGATGCTCGCGGAGCTCCGCCCATTAATCATGCATCTTTTGAAAAAATTCTGAAGTAGACTTTAACCGAAAGAGGGGGGTGTCATGACCCTTTAATCCTAGTCATTTCTCCCATAGGCAGCTGAATCGGAAGTTCTAAAACAATCACAAAAACAATCTTACTTCCTCAGTGAAAAATAAGGTTATTCCTGGTGCATTCACAATCAAACATTGCTTTTCTAATTGAATCCTTGAAAGATGAAATTTAACCCTGCATCACACTGCATCTTTCCCTTCCGAGCTCTCGCACAATTGCGTCATCGGTGATGTGACTGTTTAGTTGACCAGAAGAAAAGTGCTCTTGCTCAGCACAGTGGAGATTGCTTTAGTTATATCGTTTTGTATTCATTTTAGTGGTTTGAGATGCAGTGATGTAACGGAGGCCAGCTAGTAAGTGCTGTGCAGGTAAACCTCACTCCTCTGACCTCTAAAGGTGCTCCAGTGACAGACGCTAGAGTCCATGGTCTTTAGCCTCCTTGGTTAGAGCAACCGACTCCCATGCGGAAGGTCGCCGGTTCGATACCAGCTCGGAGCGGGTTGGGTGGCGTAGGACCGGCGGCGTTACAGTGGGATGCAGTCAAATTTTTCGAAGACCAGATCAGCCACTTTAGACGCTCATAAAATATCATAAAAGTCCTGGTGCTGCAGTAATTAGGAGGTTTGCTAAAGGTGCAGCTGTCGTGCAGTGAGGGGTTTGTCTTTAATAATCTACGACAGTTTGCTTTCATCGAAAAGTAAGAATGATTAATAAATCCATATGAAACAGTCCGTTAAAAGTCATATTCCGTCTTCAGTTTTAGTTGGCCAAAGCCCAACAAAACATATTCAGCCTGTGTCACTATTGTCTGTGTGTGTGTGTGTGTGTGTGTGTATAACAGCTATACCTGCTGAAATCTTTCTCCGTCTCCAGTTCTTCCTCACCGTGACCCAGACGCAAAAGGTGGCGTTCATCGATGTCTAGCGCCATAATCTTCTCAAACAGCTGATTTAAAGCCTGAACAACACACACACACACAACAGATATGTAGGAAGCAATGCAAGTAATGTGTGACCGAATTTTTGACAGATGTTTGGTCCTGATTTCTCAGTGTGTGTGACTGATTTCTGTAATTCTGTAAGTGTGTGTGTACCTGATTGGAGTGTGTGACGATGAGTGTTCTCTGCTCAGGGAAGTTGTGGTACAGGTTGGAGATGATCTGAACAGCCACATCTGTTTTTCCAGTGCCAGGAGGACCAACAACCTACAGCGCGGAGAAAAGAAAGAGGGTAAAGACGTATTAGCAAAAGATTAAACAGAGACAAAGAGGATGTATTTCCTTTCTTTACACACGACAAAACAGAAAGACTATACAAAACTTCATTTTGAATGTGATTCATCTTTGCCCAGCACTAGTATAAATGGAAACATGTAGGGCTCTATCATACACCTGCCGCAATAAGGCACAAGACGTGTTTGCCGTAATTTGTTGCTATTTTCAGGCCAGCGCAACAGTAGTTTTCACGTTTTGCGAGACATTGTTTAAATAGCAAATCCATTTGTGCCACTTTGTAGACTCATGGGATTGCTGGTCTAACATAGAGGTGTGTTGAGTCGCATTGTTCATTGTTTCAGTTTATTCATGATCAATCTGCATCTGTATAATGTAGGGCTGCTCGATAATGGGAAAAATCATAATCACGATTATTTTGGTCATAATTGTAATCACGATTATTCAAAACGATTATCAGTTGAAGTCAAAATTATTCGTCCTCCTGTGAATTTATTTTTATATATAAATATTTCCCAAATGATGTTTAACAGAGGTTTTTTTTTTACAGTGTTTCCTATAATATTTTTTTCTTCTGGAGAAAGGCTTATTTGTTTTATTTCAGCAAGAATAAAAGCAGGTTTGAATATTTTGAAACCTATTTTAATAGCTCGATATTATTAGCCCCTTTAAGCAATATATATGTTTGATTGTCTGCAGAAGAAACTACTGTTATACAATGACTTGCCTATTTACCCTAATTAAGCCTTTGAATGTCACTTTAGGCTGAGTATCTTGAAAAACATCTAGTAAAATATAATGTGCTGTCATCATAGCAAAGATAAAAGAAATCAGTTATTAGAAATGAGTTATTAAATCTGTTATGATTAAACTGTGCTTTAAGCATCTTCACTGTATTTTTGATTTTATTATTGATTAGTGATAAAAACAGTGGGCAGCAGCAGGAATACCGCACGCTGTCACTTTAAGAATAGTGCGGCTCTGATATGGTTTCTCTTTCTCGTGTCTTTTGATTCTCAACTTGTTAGTTTATTACACAAATGAGAGTTAATATGAATAATCACTAAACACCGCGCTCTGACACAGATGTGCATGTATTTGAACATTAAAGCGCTCGCATTAAGATCGCGTTGTTAGATGTGTGTGTGCTCTGCTGTCCGAGGCTAAGCGCGGCACGCGCCCAAACACACACGCTACCTGTCAGAGGCTAAGCACGGCGCGCACACACACAACAGCACGTGCTCTTATGCACTTTTAAAAATATGAACGATGCGCATCCCGTGCTGCAAAAGTTACATCACAGCACATGCTTTTAGTCATTTTCACGTGGAACTGAGCTTTGCAGAGGCAAAGAGTTTTCACACGTGTACAACTGAAAGGGGGCGGTATGTGATGGAATAACGTTTATCTCGATTAATGGCTTTTCATAATCGTTAAAAGCCGAAATCGGATTTTCGATTAATTGCACAGCCCTAGTATAATGTCATTATTATTAGCAGTATTATTTATTATCTGCAGATTTATATTTGTTTTAATAAAAACAAGTTCAGATTTGTCCAGCGGTGGGGTTTTAGAGATGTCTGCATCTCCACATAGGGTATAAGAACAGGACGTGTGTTTGGATATAACTCAGTTTTCTGACCACACTTCGTTATTCTTGTTCATTTATTCCTTTGCTGGAGATTAGAACTGAATTCAGAAATAGTTTTGACACAAATATGTGCTTAACAAACTAAATTAAATATGTCGGCTGCTCGATGTCTTCAGTGGAGTGAGTACAACACTGTTTCTTTACACCACCAAAGTAAAGGAGTAAAGAGTGAAAGTAAAGAGAAAGTAAAAAGGCTGAATGGAGGAGGCTCGTTCTTTATCACCGCGCTGCAGATGCTCTGTTTAACTGTTTCCTCGCTAGTAAAGCGTTCAGTTTTTACACTTAGAAAGTCCGCCATGTAAATAGCAAATGCACCATGGAGCGACACAACCGACTCTAGAAGGGAATGTGAGATGAGACTCAGATTGGTTTAATGTACCTTATTTTCAAAACACACCCCAAACTCATTAGGAGCATACAAGCAGAGGCACAGAGCATATTTTTCCATCCTTAAAATAGCAAAAGTGTATTCAGACATGCCCTTTTGCACCATGCGCTCTAGACTTTGCATCTAGATCATTAAAATAGAGCCCTTATTGTACATAAACGACTCAAAAAATTTTACCTAGGAAGTATTTTTACATTTGTATTTAATCTGTATCATAGACAAATATTTGATACAATATGGTCATGAATATATCGCTATACACAAAATCATTAGTAATAAGTAGCAGTAAGTTTTGTAAAAAAGTCTTACCATGGTAAGGCCTGGCTGCATCCCTGCACGAATGGCTTCAATCTGCGTTGGTGTGAACTGGATGGTGTTTCTGTTAAAGTCAACGTAACGCCTCAGAAATCCCATTCATGGAGCACAAATCTGTGTGACTGAGCTTTAACGAGACTGCACTGCTCATGTCTGAACTCTAGGCAGGTTTTACACTGGATGTGTGTTTGTGAGACGCACCTTTTGGGCTGGTTGTACGGATACGGGCCTCTGTTTGGAGTCACGTGAGGCTCCACTAGCAACACCTGCTCTTCCTCACCCGGAGCCGCTTCCTCATCCGCTTTACGCTTTTTACCCTTCACACTCTGCACAGGGAAGTGGATTCTGGTAGAGAGGAGACACGATTTTAATAATGCCTGTACAGATTGTCCACTTAAATTACTGGTCAACAGACTTACACCATGTTCTAAGAACATGTGACGCTACAAGATTCACAAAAAAGCTATTTGTCTGTCTGCTCTAAATGCAACACGACAGAATCATTTAAATACCAGCCACAGCACTTACAACAAAAGTGTAAAGGCTTTAAATCTAATTAACACCTATTAAACCTCTTTAACATGACTAATAGATTACTGAGTCACTAATGTTGTTGGCTACAGTTCTGACTTTCATTTTCAAAGCATCTGCTAGTTTCAGGATCTGAGGTGAACTATCTGCTGCAGCTTTCAATATTTATAGTCAACTTAAAAAAAAAGAAAGTTATTTTTGTGCTTTATTTGTCTTAGGCATTTCAGTTTGGGATATTATTCCTAATTTAAGTATAGTTTAAGCCAAAGTACGAAAACTGCTACATAAAATAAAGTACATTTTAATTAAAACCAAGTAGTATTAAAAAACTGAACAAAAAGTGATGAAACAAGAGATTGTTGATGCATTAAAATGAACATTTGGTAACACTTTATAATAACTACACACTATAAATCATTTATTAAGCGTTAGCAAATAGTGAATTCATTAGCTGTTAAGCATTAACTCTACATTAATAAACGTTAGTAAGCAGTTTATAACTGCAGCTACAAATGCTGTATTCTTGACTTATAACCATATTTATAATGTGCTTAATAATTGTACTTTCATACTTAGTAAATGATTTATTTTTCATTACTAAATTAAGTATGGCATTATTTACAAGCCAGTTGTATTTAAGAGTAGTTGAGGGTTTTTAGGATCATTCAGAATGAGTTAGTAAATGATTATTAAACTATTGAAATCAACATTTATATGTCTTATTATTCAGGCATATACTAATAGTTAACTAATATGTTAATAAATGCTTTATTAACTCAACTTCATGCAGTTTTGTGACTTAATCTAAAGTGAGGACTATTCATGCTTTATAAATCCCTTATAAATGACAAATAAAGGCTCAGTTAAATTCTAAACAGGAAAAAATGACATTATTCATTCCTATTCATATAAAGATACACAAATGAAACTGTACTTTAAATAAAAAATAAATCTTTGCAACCTGATCTAAAATAAAATCACTGTAGAGTTTAAACATTACATCTTATTATATTGTTTAATTATTATATTGTTGTTTTATCCAGTTTTGTTGTATTTTGACACTCCTGTTATTCAGCAATGTTTAAACTTTACAGTAATTTTACATTTTAGAAAAAAAATGCACAGATTATCATTCATTTCATTCTGAGCCTTTATTTGTCATTTATAAAGGATTTATAAAGCATGAATAGTCCTCACGTTAGATTAGGTCACAAAACTGCATGAAGTTGAGTTAATAAAGCATTTATTAACATATTAGTTGACTTTTACTATATGCATGAATAATAAGACATAAATGTTGATTTCAATAGTTTATTAATCATTTATTAACTCATTCTGAATGATCTTAAAAACCCTCAACTACTCTTAAATACAACTGGCTTGTAAATAATGCCATACTTAATTTAGTAATGAAAAATTTATCATTTACTAAGTATGAAAGTACAATTATTAAGCACATTATAAATATGGTTATAAGTCAAGAATAGAGCATTTGTAGCTGCAGTTATAAACTGCTCACTAACGTTTATTAATGTAGAGTTAATGCTTAACAGATAATGAATTCACTATTTGCTAATGCTTAATAAATGATTTATAGTGTGTAGTTATTATAAAGTGTTACAGAACATTTAAATTAAACATTTCTTGTTTTAGTATGGTTGTTTGAATTATTAAAAGGAATAACTATAAAGCTGAGAAAAAAAAGCAATATACTCAGGGCTTCCCACAGGTTTGAAATATACTTGCGGTGGTTGCCAGATTGAAACACACCTTTTACCCACGGCACATGGTAACTACATGTGACAAAAAAATGATTTTTAACAATAATGTTATTTATTATATCACTGTTTCTTTTCAATGGGTTGAAGTTTATAAAAAAAACTGTTTAAATAAAATAAGAAATCCACTATTTGCTTTTATGCTATTGAGGAGCCATGTGCACCCACTGACAGGTCAAATCTGCTGCTGATGTTTTGTACAGTATTGCCAAAGCATGTTAGATATGTTACAAACATGGTATATATCAACATCACCAAATTAAAAATATATAAAGCAAACAAAATATAAATGGCTACGGAATAAAAACAGACAGTATCTCTAGAAAGTATACTAATTACAAGAATAAAAACATATTTATATAGGTGTACAAATATTTTGTAGCCAGTTTAGATGTAATTTCGTCCTCTCTAATAGAAAAGTTTACTGGAGTCGTTTAGGTCAAAGAATTAATTAATTAATATTTATCTCGCTCTTGTTGCTGTGCATGCGCTTTCAGCTGCGAAGTCAAGCATAAGTAAATCAGGCTTAACCCTCTGAATGCAAAAACACATACAATTAATTACTGCTTTAGAAAGCGAAACCAAAATCCCGGACATTTCAGGAGATTTAGAAACCTCTAATGGATGCATATTTAAGTCCCAAAAAAGGCGCATCTCTGTGGGTCTCTGCTGAGCTTGTGAGATTGTCTGTGAGAGTGTTGACAGTTCTCAAGCGTACACAACAAGAAGTAGGAAACGTTTAGTGCGAGAGAAGAGTTTTCTACTGGTTAATCGATGGCGGATGTTTGGTTATATTGGGCGGATACATAAAAAGTCTAAAAGGATGAAAATAGTAAAAAAATAAATGTCACAAACATATATTTGGGCAGCCGTTAATATACCTAGGCGACCCCGCCAAGTAAAAGTTAATGTGTGGGAGGCACTGAAACTTTACTAAAACTTAAAATGGAAAAAGTATTAAAATACCTAAACATTAGATTTTAAAAAACCTGAATAACTAAATAGATTGTAAAAAAAAAAAAAAAAAAAAATTTAAGGTCTAGGAAGTGGTATGTTGTGTTGAAAACGGAGCATGAATGAACCTGAATGGTGGCATCTGTCTAGCGGGATCCTCCTCCGTCACCTTGACCGTGTGCTCTGGGAAACAGGATCTGAGGTGCTGGATGGACAGGAAGGTGTCGTTGAAGTCCAGACTGGAGATCTGATTGGGCATCTTTGAGTAATGAGCACTACCAGGGTCTCCATAACCCAGGATGATGTCGTGAAGCCAGTCGGGAACCACACACTCGGTGTTCATGAGGTTACGGATGGTCTCCAGCACAGCCTGCAAAATAAAAATAAATAAATAAACAGTTAATCTTTGATGACTGAAATGACCACAGCCCTGTTTTAAATGTTGGACATGTATACCACATGGCTTGATTTTTAAAAACAACACAAATATATGTGCACTTGATCCGTCTCGCACGCTATACAACGAAACGTTTCTTGCACAGAAATACCTATGATGATATTCGATAGAATTATTTTTAAAACACTATTAGTAATATCATTTTAGTATTTATTAACGTCAAATAAATGTGTATAATTTGTTGCGTTTGGGTTTTATTTATTTGAACTTTTCTTAGTTTTGGTCATTTTAATACTAACACTTGGAATTTTTATTGTAAGATTTAGAAATGTTAATTCATGTAAGGACTCACTTTAATGTCATTTAATAAATTTTTTAATACTACTTTTAAAACGTTTAGTTTGCCGTTTTCATACACTGCCTTAAACTCTACTAAAGTTCAAAATAATCAAAGAAAAAAACAATAATTCTCTAACAGAAATAAATTAAAATAAAACAACAACAACAACAAGCTGTTTTTTTAGTTGACGATACAAATTTGTATTTCATGTAAAAAGATAGTTAATCCAAAAAATGACCCATCTAACTCAACCTTTATGACTTTCTTTCTTCTGTTGAAGGCAATAGAAGATATATTGAAGAAAGCTGGGAAACCTGTAAACATTGATCTCCACTGTTGGAAAAACAAATACTATGGAAGTCAATGGTTACACATTTCCAGATTTCTACAAAATATTTTTTTGTCTTTTAGTAAAAAACAGAATTTTTATTTTTGGGTGAAATAACCCTTTAACAGTTTTATTCATAGTATAGTTTTATGTCGCACTATAAACACCGTCTAGTTTGACACAGTAAAGTCGGAGTGACCTTGAAGTTGTTCTCTTTGGGTTTGCGCCTCATGATGACGTTGAAGGTCTCGTAGGGATCTTCTGCTCCGCTCTGGATGCTGTTGGTCATGTCCTGCTGGTATTGGTTCGAGTCCAGCCACACTCGGTACGTCCTGGTGTCACCTCTCAATTTGGGCTTTGGATCAGGACCTTCACGGAAGCATAAGAAAATGGTAAAATAAAAGTTTGTACAGAACAAACAGAAAGAATAGAAAGCCAAACATTCAATCTCACAAAATACAAGAACATCTTACTGTAATCAATATGGTGCCACAAAATTACAAATGAGAATCACAAGAATGATTCCTCTTTCTAAGCTAATTTAACTCTTCACTAAATGGACAATATCAATAATCAGGGTAAAATACCAATTAGGATATATTGTTATCGCGACAACATCGCCATATATAGTTAACGCAACATATTGTTATGACGATATAGTGTTATTGCGATATATCGTTAAAGCAACATATTTTTGTGGAGATAGAGTTTTATTACCATATATAGTTAACAAAACATATTGCTATGACGATATAGTGTTATTGCGATATATCGTTAAAGCAACATATTTTTGTTGAGAGAGTTTTATTACCATATATAGTTAACAAAACATATTGCTATGACGATATAGTGCTATTGCGAAATGTAGTTATCGCAATATATTGTTATGTAATATAGCGTTATCACCATATATCGTTAAAGCAATATACTGTTAAGGAGATATAGCGTTCTCGTCATATATTGTTAACGCAATATATTGCGATATATATTTAACTCAATATTTTGTTATGCAATATAGCATTATCACCATATATCGGTAAAGCAATATATTGTTATGGAGATATAGCGTGATGGCCATATATCCTTAACGCAATATATTGCGATATATAGTTAACGCAATATACTGTTATGCAATATAGCATTATTATCATATATCGTTAAAGCAATATATTGTTATGGAGATTTACTTCATCGTCATATATCGCTAACGCAATATATTGCGATATATAGTTAACGCAATATATTGTTATGCAATATAGCATTATCACCATATATCGGTAAAGCAATATAGTGTTATGGAGATTTACTTCATCGTCATATATCATTAACGCAATATATTGCAATATAAAGTTAATGCAATATATTGTTATGCAATTTAGCATTATCACCATATATCGTTAAAGCAGTATATTTTTAATCGAGATATAATGTTATTACCATATATCGTTAACAAAACCTATTGCTATGATGTTATAGTGCTATTGCGATATGTAGTTAACGTAATATATTGTTATGTAATATAGCGTTATCACCATATATCGTTAAAGCAATATATTGAGATATATAGTTAACACAATATATTGTTATGCAGATATATCGTTACCACCATATATCATTAACGCAATGCATTGCGATATATAGTTAAAGCAATATATTGTTATGGAGATATATCGTTATCGCCATATATCCTTAATGCAATACATTGCAATATATAGTTAACACAATATATTGTTGTGCATTATAGCATTATCACCATATATCGTTAAAGCAATATATTGTTATCAAGATATGGCGTTATCACCATAGATCTTTAACGCAATAAATTGCTATAGCGAAATAGTGTTATTGTGATATATAGTGAATGCAATTTATTGTTATGCAATATAGTATTGTCACCATATATCGTTAAAGCAATATATTGTTATGGAGATATAGTGTTAATACCATATATCGTTAACGCAATACATTGCGATATATAGTTAATGCAATATATTGTTATGCAACATAGCGTTATCACCATATATCGTTAAAGCAATATATTGAGATATATAGTTAACACAATATATTGTTATGGAGATATATCGTTATCACCATATATCCTTAATGCAATACATTGTAATATATAGTTAACACAATATATTGTTGTGCATTATAGCATTATCACCATATATCGTTAAAGCAATATATTGTTATCAAGATATGGCGTTATCTCCATACATCTTTAACGCAATAAATTGCTATGGCGAAATAGTGTTATTGTGATATATAGTGAATGTAATTTATTGTTATGCAATATAGTATTGTCACCTTATATTGTTACAGCAATATATTGTTATGGAGATATAGTGTTAATACCATATATCGTTAACAAAACATATTGCTATGATGATATAGTGTTATTGCGATATGTAGTTAACGCAATATATTGTTATGCAATATTGCGTTATCACCATATATCGTTAAAGCAATATATTGTTATGGAGATATAGCGTTATCGCCATATATCATTAACGCAATATATTGCGATATATAGTTAATGTAATATATTGTTATGCAATATAGCGTTATCACCATATATCGTTAAAGCAATATATTGAGATATATAGTTAACACAATATATTGTTATGGAGATATATCGTTATCGCCATATATCCTTAATGCAATACACTGCAATATATAGTTAACACAATATATTGTTGTGCATTATAGCATTATCACCATATATCGTTAAAGCAATATGTTGTTATCAAGATATGGCGTTATCGCCATACATCTTTAACGCAATAAATTGCTATGGCGAAAAAGTGTTATTGTGATATATAGTGAATGCAATTTATTGTTATGCAATATAGTATTGTCACCATATATCGTTATAGCAATATATTGTTATGGAGATATAGTGTTAATACCATATATCGTTAACAAAACATATTGCTATGATGATATAGTGTTATTGCGATATGTAGTTAACGCAATATATTGTTATGCAATATTGCGTTATCACCATATATCGTTAAAGCAATATATTGTTATGGAGATATAGCGTTATCGCCATATATCATTAACGCAATATATTGCGATATATAGTTAATGCAATATATTGTTATGCAATATAGCGTTATCACCATATATCGTTAAAGCAATATATTGAGATATATAGTTAACACAATATATTGTTATGGAGATAAATCGTTATCGCCATATATCCTTAATGCAATACATTGCAATATATAGTTAACACAATATATTGTTGTGCATTATAGCCTTATCACCATATATCGTTAAAGCAATATATTGTTATCAAGATATGGCGTTATCGCCATACATCTTTAACGCAATAAATTGCTATGGCGAAAAAGTGTTATTGTGATATATAGTGAATGCAATTTATTGTTATGCAATTTAGTATTGTCACCACATATTGTTACAGCAATATATTGTTATGGAGATATAGTGTTAATACCATATATCGTTAACAAAACATATTGCTATGATGATATAGTGTTATCGCGATATGTAGTTAACGCAATATATTGTTATGCAATATTGCGTTATCACCATATATCGTTAAAGCAATATATTGTTATGGAGATATAGCGTTATCGCCATATATCATTAACGCAATATATTGCGATATATAGTTAATGTAATATATTGTTATGCAATATAGCGTTATCACCATATATCGTTAAAGCAATATATTGAGATATATAGTTAACACAATATATTGTTATGGAGATATATCGTTATCGCCATATATCCTTAATGCAATACATTGCAATATATAGTTAACACAATATATTGTTGTGCATTATAGCATTATCACCATATATCGTTAAAGCAATATATTGTTATCAAGATATGGCGTTATCGCCATACATCTTTAATGCAATATATTGCTATGGCGAAATAGTGTTAATTTGATATATAGTGAATGCAATTTATTGTTATGCAATATAGTATTGTCACCATATATCGTTACAGCAATATACTGTTATGGAGATATAGCGTTATCGCTAAATGTATGTGTGGTCATTTGCTGTCTAGAAAAAAAAAATGTTAAAAGCCATTTGTGCTGTCATTCATTCATTTTCTTGTCGGCTTAGTCCCTTTATTAATCCGGGGTCGCCACAGCGGAATGAACCGCCAACTTATCCAGAAAGTTTTTTACACAGCGGATGCCCTTCCAGCCGCAACCCATCTCTGGGAAAACCATTTGTGCTGTATGTTTCATATTTAAGATGTTCAATAAAAAAAATTTTCAGAAAAAACATCACACACATGTTGGGGCATTACTGTTAATCAGGATTTTGCTTGGGAATCAGAGCGCACGGCTGTATATTTTTAACATCTTCTGCTTGGCTCACCTTCCTCAATGACACGGCCTTGATCATCCAGCATGCCCTGCACCTCGCAGCCCCTCACGTACACCAGACCGGCCTGATCCACAAACGGCTGCCGGCGGTCGAAGCGTGTGCCGTAGGGCAGGTTGGGTCGCACCGTGATCAGAAAGCAAACATCGTGCTTCCGCAGCCCTGCAAAAACAAACAGCAATGTGAAGCTGAACATTCAGTAATGCTCTTGTTCTGTTCTTCATTTCACCATGTTGAGTTTTGATAATAATCCAGCACAGTAGAAGCAACACACACTCTAGAAATGTAGAAAATCGTGCTAGAAACTAGGGATGCACCAAATTTTAGGCAACCGAAAATAATAATTTTTTAACCAAAAGAGATAATATGAACCAAAAAAAAAAGAACTACACTGCGTAATTCATGCTAAGTGTGCAGGTTTTACTCTTCCTCCAGCTGTCGTTAATGTGCAGTGTGAAGTGGCTTACACACCGGATGCAGAAAACACTGCGCTATGAAACCCATTCATTTCAATGGCTTACACTACAGTGGTCCCTTGCTATAACGCGGTTTAGATATTTTTTTTGTACAATTTGACATGCTTTTTTTTTCGACAGTGCATTGTGTTCTGCGTCCTGATTGGCTGTAGACCACTGTCAATCAATCTTCTTCAAACTTTATGTGGATATAGTCCTCATGTCTTCGAAGTATTAGCTGAGTGCGTTTTAGTTTAGATTTCAGTGCGTTTGTTGACTACAGAGGGTCCATAACACTGAAGCTGCAGAAACTGCTGTAAAAACATCCATCTGGACCCCAGAAAAACGACAATCTGTCAACTAAAGCCTGGTTTATACTTCTGCGTCAAGTGACCGGCGTAACTCACGGCGCAGGCAACGCGCGTGGCTGTGCATTTATACTTCTGCTGCTGTTTCTGTCGGTCTGCATTAACAGTTACGAAACGCTAGTTGGCAGTGAGGTGTAAATGTTCCTCTGTGTCGAGTTTCTTTGCTGCTTTCTTGGTTTTTCTGAACACTTCCGGGATGTACAAGTGGCTCAAACTCGCTCATTTTGAGGCAGGAACCGGCGGACGTGCAACAACTTTAACTATGAGGTAACCACAAAACAAAACTTTCTATCCGGAGCTCCTTCACGGGACTCCACACTTGTAAACAATCGCTCGCGCCATTCGCGCGGCTCTCGGTCCCGCCCAGACTCGTCAGCTCTACCAAGCCGACCAATCACAGAGCTTGCGCTACGCGTCGTTGCGACGTGTAGTTAAATTTTTTGAGAGGTGCACGTCAGTGACGGCCACGGCGAAGGGCTATGCGTCAGCGCCCTAGCATACACCGGTGTTTGACGCAGAAGTATAAATCAGCCTTAATGATTGGCTCTTTTACTAAAAAAGGGGGCTTCAATCTTGTGGATTCTATAGTCTTTGGTTTTAGTTAATGATACTATGCCTGACTTTCCAGCCATTTGCAAGTCTGTTCTGTGCATGTATGTGTTGTGTTTGTAGAGACAGATGAAGCGATGTTTACCCTCCCACTCATTTTTGATGTGGTCTCGGATGTTGAGGTTAATGGTGACGTCAGCGCGCACTCGAGCCGGCCAGTTCTCTCCAATGTTCGGCTTCGCCACCTCCACTATAGAGAAGGAGACGATGGTCTGTGCCATTCTGGCCCATCCACCAAACACCACGCCACCATACTCCGACTGCCTGCGCAAACAAACCCTCCATGTTAACACATAATATCATGAAACAACCTTCTTCTATTCAGATTTTCAGTTTTTGTCATAATATACTTTTAATGTTAAAGGGCGCCTATAACGCAAAAATCACCTTTGTAAGGGGTTTAAACACAGCTGTGTGTGAATATAGGCAGCTTCTAACGGTAAACATTCATTAATTGTATTATGCAGAAACACTTTGATTGACATTCTCCCTTTGTACGTGTCATCAAAGGGGGAAAGCTCCGCCCATTAGTGACCATCTCTCCCTTATTAGCATAGGACGCAAGTCTTGTTTTTGAATCTGCCACTATGCTGACACACAGGCCTTTGTAGCTCCGCCCTCTTCTGTAAAGAGCACAATCTTATTTGAATTTAAAGTGACAGTCACCAAAACAACACAATTAGCACCAAAGCCTAAAAGGGTCGGTTTCAGAGAGTTAGAAAACATTATTAGTGTGGTATTTTAGCTGAAACTTCACACACACACATACACACAAACACATACTCCAGAGACTAATAGTACATATTGTGCAAAAAAAAAAACATAATAGGTCCCCTTAAAGACCAAGAACGGTGAACAAACCATGGCTTCATCCGTAAAACAACGTCCTCGATATCCTGGCGGATTTCATAGGTGGATTCCAGTCGAAACAGGTTGAAGTTTCTCAAAAGGTAGTCGTGCAAGGTCAGGAACTGCAGATTCAGCTTCGGGAGAGCCAAACAACCTTTAGTGCACACACAACAACAAAACAGAGGTTGCACTCATTCTTTATATTCGTTTTCTTACACAAAAACAGTGTCAAATCCAGTGATGCGGCAAAAATATTTTTACATCTGCGGATTAAGACTGGAATGTCTTTAAAGTTCACGCAATAGGTGATATCCCACAACTTGTCTCAATATAGTGTGCATTTTGTGAGTTTTAAACCTACGAATCAATGCACTTGCGTTGAAAAGAGCTGATCAAGTTGTAAATGTGTTTGTTTTTGTGGGTTTACAGGATAATTATACAGGTTAGGGAAGTCTTAACAGGCCCGTTTGGGTTCATTCATTCATTCATATTCATTTGGCTTAGTCCCTTATTCATCAGGGGTTGCCAAAGCAGAATGAACCAACAACTATTACAGCATATGTTTTATGCAGTGGATGCTCTTACAGCCACAACCCAGTACTGGGAAACACCCATACACTGGTTGATTAGCTTTTTTAACCCAATTCCCCTATAGCGCATGTGTTTGGACTGTGGGGAAACCGGAGGAAACCCACGCGAACACAGGGAGAACATGCAAACTCCACACAGAAACCCCGACTGACCCAGCTAGGACTCGAACCACCAACCTTCTTGCTGCGAGGCCACAGTGCTAACCACTGAGCTACCATCATCAGTATTATCTCTTTAAATAGAACAATGGCACAGTAGACGTAACAATAAACCACATTTAAAGTCAGTAAAATGGCTGAAAACATCTTGAATAAAGTCTTGTTATGCACACTGTTATTTCATGTGGCCTCGGAGCTGGTCTAAAGTCTCATTTGTTCTTTTTGCTCACAAATTTCTTTCCAATACACTAAGGCCCATTCCCAATTCTACCCCTTAGCTCTTCCCTTTACCTCTACCCCTCGTTTTGCGCGTTCCCGTGAACGGGTAGGGCTGTCCCAATTCTCTTTAGCTTGAAGGGCTAAAGGTAAGGGGGTAAATACCCCTCGAAAATGAGATTTTTCAGGATCACACTTGAAACCAAGGGGTAAGAAAATTTCCCAGAATACACCAGCCACAACGGCAGAATAGCTGTTATGAGTATGAGCTGTTTACAGTGTCTGCTATAATGTTAATGTTGTTTTCGTGTGTTTACATTGATGAATATGGCCACTGTGTAAATGCACAGTACAGTTATGATCTTATTGCCACATTATAAATAATATATGCCTTTAGTGATTCCCTGAAGATAAATACCAAATAATAACTCAACTGGAATAACTACAGCAGTCGCCATCGTCAATCTCAAATGAAGCAAGAGATCGCGATGACATAAGATGACGTGTGTAGGCAGGGGCGCCCGCAGGATTTTATTCCAAGGTACGCACAAATCCAGCCCCGCCCCGCCCCCTTCCGCCAGTCATGTCAAGAAACACTGACGCTTGCTGTCAAAGGCTGCATTATTCAAGGGCATTCGTTATGACATAACTTCTTTCCTTTTTAATTTTAATATTTCGCTGAAATCTAAATGTAATAAAAGCACATCAGCATCAAGGAAAAGTCAGACGCTCAAGACGTAATCTTTAAAATTATGACATATTAAAAAATGTGCAAATATATGACAGAAAATTGTGATGAAATACAATTAGTAAAGCATTAACTAAATCCTTACTTTCCACTGACCGACAATCACCCACCCGCATAGTTGAGTAGTGGACGGGCTCAAACAAAAATAAAATTTGTAGCCTATATTTTTCTGAGAAAAAATTTATTTTTTAAACTAATTTCGTATATTGTTTGTCTCTTTGTTCAAATATTTTTCTTGGTCAGTTATCTTCTAGATAAAATAGAAGAACCAATAACATTTGAAGTGAAGTGCTTCAAAACCCGCAATATAACAATGCCGAACCACGAACAGAACTGTCAAATAAAATAATAATCTAGGCTAAATTAAATTAAAGTGAAATGTTCAGTTTCAGAGTAGCTTAAATTAAACTGTTTTTCCATGTTCTGCCGGTCAATTACAATTAAATTTAGTCAAATAATGTGAACGAGCAGGAAAGATGTTTATAAATTCGCATATTCGCAACAGCACTGAACATTTACCTCGGTGGAACAAGCTCGGTTGGAATTGTAAGTAACTTCAGAAACTTGTGAGAACTAAGATGTATGCTTATTAATGCTAGTCTATCAGATAAAACAGGTTACGATTATCATGCCATCGATTCGGTTCAATTCGATATTTCGGTGCATCACGGTGCATTGACGGTGCTTTCCATACACAGTTTTATATTTTCTTCACAGCAGCATTTCTTGTATTAAAATGTATGAATATATTTATATTTATATACTATTTGTAATACAATTTTGTCGTTTAATACAAACAGTCAGATATAAACTGTAACTTCAAACAAAACGAGCATTAAGCAAATAATATAAACAAATATAAACATCCAGCTCAATTTCTGATCCTTGTCTAGTTCTCTTACACCCCTTTGATTGGTCACACCCTCAACAAAAACGGTTGCGATTGGCTCTTGCGCGCTGCGCTCTTCAGATAAGTGACACTGATAAGCGTCAGGCGGCAGCGGCGATCTCACAGCTGATGTATGATAGACACGGTGGAGAAAACTCTGCAGACACGCGCTCGTTTCTGTATCCAAACGTAATGCTGTAAAACAGCCGAGAGGAGAAGAAAAGCCACGCCAGCAGGTCAAATGGGCCACTGTGTGTGTGTGTGTGTGTGAGAAAGAGAGACAGAGCGAAAGCGAGAGAGAGAGAGAAAGAGAGAAATGGAGTAGGCTACTTTCATTCTCTCGACCTCAGTGAAATAGGGGCTATTGTTGTATATTAGGGGTGTCACGATTTCGATTTTTAAACGAAATCGATCGAAATTTATGCTCAATTTCGATTATCGAATCAAAAAATAGAATCGTCGATGCTGCCACGCCCCCATGTCACGTCAGCTTGGCTTGCCAAGCGGGAAAAAAACAGGCTTGTTGAAGTGCTTGTTAAACTGCAGACGCAAGAGAGCCGTCAACAGAACTTAAACCCTCTCCTCTTTCAATGAAGTCGCCGGTGTGGAAGCATTTTGGATTTCCAGTGAGTTATGTTGACAACCTTCGTGTTGTCAACAAAAAAAAACACAGTTTTGCAAGCTCTGCTATGTACGTATAACGTACGGTTCGTCCGATAGACAACACCGGCATCGCGATCCTCCGCCCGCCCCCATTGCAAATCCGCTCGCGAAAAGTACACACTCAGGCCCTGTTTACACTGTCTTTGTTTTTAAATGGCATTTTATAACGACAATGATTTGACATCCACAGTGACGTGTGGCATTTCTGAGCAGCCCTCCTTCCTCTCTAACTTACCTCTGAAAATGCACATCACGTGACCACACAGACACACTCACAGCCATGCGCTCGAGACAGCAGGTCCAGGCAGTCAGAGGACTGCTTCAATCTTTCACTCACTTGTACTTTGTCATTTTAGCGAACACCTCAGATACTGTTGGCTGGTTCCTGTTGGTTGTGCGTCTTTTTTACCGACGCCATTATAACGACACAGATCACTGCCTATTCACGAGTCCCGCAGAAAAAGTGATTGACAGGTGGTAATAATGTGTGTATCTTGCTTTTATTCATTTACTGTATGATTTGTTTATGGGTCAACAAAGACCACGCAGGTCAGGTAGTTTAAACGGTAGGCTACAAATAATTAATTCATCATTAATAAATTAATTGTTCATAATCGAAAATCGAATCGAATCATGCTTTCAGAATCGAAAATGTAATCGAATCGAGGATTTAGAGGATCGTGACTCCCTTATTGTATATGTCAGTGAAAGACTGATCCAGCAAACACACACAGTGAAATTGTGCACAGTTTATGAGTTTTAAGTAGTTAAAGCGCTGTAAACACTCACGATCGCCTCCCTCGTGACAGAGCGCATATGAGGTAAATGACGTCAGTAATAACCGGTTATGATTATTACTGAACCGATACCGAATTGTCCGCGTCTGCATCGCGATGCACCGAAGAAACGATTAATTTTGACACCCCTAGTTTACTTATTTTAACCTTGTTTTAAAACAATACCTATATCTGAATGGTGATTTTTAGGTGCGGAAAATCCACCAGTAAAACTAAAGCCAATAGATTTCTTTACCCATCTCCCACCATGCAAGTACATACACACTTTAAAACACACACCTTTATTTGTTGTCATTCGTTCTTGCTTTGTCAATATATCGTAGTGTATATTGTTTAATAATCAATTTAAATTATATAATAAAAAAAATTAAAAAGCGGCATTAATTCGCACCCTCTCATGGTAGGTACGCACTGTGTGTAGGTGTTGTAGTGCTGTCGCATTTATTAGAGTAAATTTCCCCCTTCACTCTTGGTTTTAAGGGTCATGGGGAAGGGGTAGGGGTAGAAAAATAGAATTGGGATTGGGCCAAAATCCATTAATTCAAAGATATTACGGTATAGTGGTGCATGTGCATACTGACCTTCTCCTGAGTAGTACTCGGTGGGAACGATGTTCTCATCCCAGATGATCTTTTCGGTGGGATACAGAGGCATCTGGTTGAGCTGCTCGATCTGTGAGATTCGTCTCTCGTGATGGGACACCTGAACAGAAGAGAGGACGCTTTGATGAGGCTTCACTCCTCTATTAAAGCACCAAATCATGTGCCTGCTGGACAAATCCTGCTGGGTGAACCTGTGCTATTATCAAACCCAGCAGATGGCCAAATGTAGGCTACATACATCACAGAGCAAGAGCTTAATGACATCCCAACACCAGTTTAGAGATGCATACAGTTCAATCCAGACTAGATCTTCTAAATCAGCTAAAAATAAATAATAATAAATGATCTGCACATAATCTGATCGAACTTTTGAATACTACAGTATGTTCGAGCTACGTTTTGTCTGACTTTACCATGTGTGTGTAACAAACAAACAAAACTTCAATGTTCTTTTGAAACTGAATCTATTTGAATATATATGAATATGGCACCAGCATCCAATAAAATGTATTAACTATACAACCGGTTTGTTTTTTTATTTTAATAATTCTTTTTCGATTTTGCCATACCATTGTATAAGCTTTAAAATTGCCATATCTCCCTTGCAGCAAAGAAAGTAATCTGTGCATTGTACGTATTAGAGGTCTGCATTCCTGAAAATGAGAGAGAGCGAGCCGTGGTGCTGTGTGTTGTTATAAGCTGTCAGGACTCTTTAGCATCCACCTGGGTGTTTTTTGGGAGGCATATTTAGTCGCTATACATTTTACATTCCTCGGCCTAATGTGTACCAATATGGCAAATATACTGAGTGGATATGTTTGCAAATCTGACTTTGAAAGGGTCAGTGCCTGACCAGCCACAAACCTCACCGCATGTCACAGCTTAAGGCAGCACTTATGTCTTATCACAAGGGTCAAACAAACCTGACACTTAGCCTGCAATCCTTGCACAACCTACAGTTTTATCTGTTACCTTTCTCTTTTGGTAGTACCCAATTTAATCATGAGATTTTGTAACTGACAGATCACCATCTCCATGCCAGATGAATAAGATCCAGTCCCAGATGCCAGATCTTGTGAGAAAATGTCAGTTTCGTCAGGTACCTGGACAACAAGTCAGCACAGTTTCCAATACCCAAACCTGTTAACCAGTATTCAACTGAATTAACAGTCTCGTATCAATATAGGAGTTGACTAAGAAAGCCAGAGAGGCGCAGAAGCAGAAGCAGAAGACAAAGTAATGATGATAAAGAAAGTGCAGAGTTTATTGAATAATCTTAATTGTGTATGATTTAATACGTTAAAGTGTTATTATACCACAATGACAGCAATGGAAAATTACTTCTTTACAACATTGTCCAGAGACAATGCAGTCCAGGAAATGTGTCACTTGAATCCACAGACATAAGATTATCACAACATCGAAGAATGAAAATAATACTAAAGCAATAATTATGCTAAAATAGTAATAATAAAATATAAAGGCATAATAAAACGACAGCTAATAATCAATAAAATGATGTAATGATGATTATATAAATGACTAATGATCATATGATTAAATAAAATAATTAAATGAAGAATAAATCAATATTAACAAATGGAAATAAAACACAACACACTCTCTTAAAACAACACACACATAAGTTTGCTAAAAGGATTCTCAGACACTTAGTTAGAGTCTTCATTAACCAGATCTAAATTTAGTGGGAAAAAACCTGGCGGGAGCAAGACTAAGAACTCCCTTGCAGACCTCATGTTCGTACTATACTTTTATATGTTGTAATTGTGTTGTAATTGCCCGTTGTTGCAATAAAAAGCACTGTTTTTTATGGATTAAAAGACTTGCCACAGCCATATTACTCTGCAGCCTAAGACTGGTTACTCACTGAAGCTAAGCAGGGCTGAGCCTGGTCAGTACCTGGATGGGAGACCACTAGGGAACACTAGGTTGCTGTTGGAAGTGGTGTTAGTGAGGCCAGCAGGGGGCCACAGTAATGCCACAGTAAAAGTGAAGGGGACACTACACTTTCAGTGGGCGCCGTCTTTCGGATGAGACGTTAAACTGAGGTCCTGACTCTCTGTGGTCATTAAAAATCCCATGGCACTTCTTGTAAAGAGTAGGGGTGTAGCGGTCCTGGCCAAAGTCTCTCTATTACGATCATGGCCTCCCAATCATCCCCTTCCACTGAATTGGCTCTATCACTGTCTCTCCACTCCACCAATAGCTGGTGTGTGGTGAGCGCACTGGCGTCGTTGTCCTGTGGCAGCCGTCGCATCATCCAAGTGGATGCTGCACTCTGGTGGTGGTGTGGAGAGACCCCCCCCTCCCCTCAATATGTTACCATATTATTGAACTGAGGCGTAGATGTTTGCTGAAGGCAAAATTTGATTTAAGCAGATTTGCGTCAGCGTTCTATAAGTTAAATAAAGTTTTATGAGAACTCTTTATACTTGCAGATCTTAAACATGCATTTATTACACACTAAAGGAAAACATTAAACATAAAAATGATCGCCTATTTAACACAGCCTTCTCATTTATCATAAATCAGTGGAAATCCAACAATCTCAAAGCCTGTCTTTATTAAAAATCTAAAGTAGCATGCAGAAAACTGCAGAGAACTGGATTTGCTCAAAGTTTTGCTTTTGAATTTGTCTTGTGCTTCCAATCATTATAATCCATTGCATTGGGGTTGGTTCAAAGCTCAAACTAGCATACTCTGCGGAGCAAACACTCGACTATTTGAATAAGAAAAGGAGTCTGCGGCTCACACGGGACGCAGCTTTTGAGAAATCAAGTGAATGAATGGGCAGCTTATCCTGTCTGAAGCTTAATTAAGTGTTTTATCTGGTTGGGGACCCGCTCTGGCCGAGACGCATGCGTTTGAGCTGCTGGAACGACCCCTGACACTGGGGCAGTCACCACATTACAGAGGAAACGCTGCACTTCTTGATGAGATTTGGATAGAGTTAATTAAAAGACACCGGAGCAGGACCACCGATGGGCCTGGACACATCTAAAACGGCTGAAAACACAGTGTATGAGTGGGGGAAAAAAGTGCCCACAGCCTCAAACACTAATAACTCGCAAACGGAGGACACCGTAAGAAGAACCTAATCTATAATCAGAGTTATAATTAACAGCTCCAGCCATTTAATGCAAAACCTTTTCAGCGTGTTTGTCCCACGACACAAACCATAGCGAGGTCAACCGAAATAAACTATTTGAGAATAGCATTACTAATAGTAATGATGATAAATAATTATAATAATAAAAAAATGATAATCAATCAAAAAAAAAAATCAACATTATAAAAAGAATAATAAATTATCAATCAATTATAAGTCAATGTTATATAAAAATAATAGTAATATTATATCATAATAATAATAATTATAAAAGAATTAATAATGAAAATCAAAACAACGTGATATAATAATAATAATAATAAACTAGAACCTAAAGTTCGTTGACGAACTTTGATGTTGGCTTGAGAAAGCCAACGTGACTGCGCCGAGGACTCAAAGGCAGTTGGCAGGAAGCACAGCGGTTGAGAAGTGGTTGCTAGGCGGTTGCTAAGATGTTGCTAAGGCATTCCTAGGTAGTTGCTAGGGTGTTCTGAGTGGTTTCTAGGCTGTTGCTAGGGTCCACTGGACTGTTAATCGGAAGGCCTCATTTACATTTTTTATCAAATCGAGAGAGAGAGAGAGAGAGAGAGAGAGAGAGAGAGAGAGAGAGAGAGAGAGAACTGATTTGTTCAGGTTGTTTAATGCAGATCACTATAGTATAGTTAGTATTTATAGTATATATTATAATCTGAACAAAATTACATTATAATAAATATCATATAAAGAAAAATATTAAATTAAAATACTAATGAAACAATAGCACATGCATTTAGTTAATTTGTCTTTTATTTAATCAGTCTTATCAGTTTTGCAGTTAATAAAGAGTACAGTCAATTTACAGTAATTTGCAGCGTTATATATATAGTTATAGTTATATAGTTATATACAGTTTACAGGAAGAAAATTGCATTAAATACAATATTAGGCCATCTTCATCACGTGGTTAATTCTGACCAATGACGTTGTTCCACCCCACTGGCCACTAACACAATGTTATAATCGTAATATTTAATTGTCATCACCTGGGTGATTTTATTTTTTTTGGTACAGCATAGGCCAAAAGCTTGGCTTTCATTGTCATTATCACAAGTGAGGAGAAGGCTTTTTTGCGGTACAGAATATTCTGTTTTGAAAGAAATATCTGAAGTAAACTTATGTTTTTGCCAACATAAAAGGGGGATAAAAAATAATCCTTATAACCCTAACCATAAATGTGTGTGTGTGTATGTGTATATATATATATATATATATATATATATATATACACTGTTGAAGTCAGAATTATTAACCCCCAGTTGATTTTTTTTTCCCTTTTTTAAATATTTCCCAAATGGTGTTTAACAGAGCAAGGACATTTTCACTGTATGTCTGATAATATTTTTCTTCTTGAGAAAGTCTTATTTGTTTTATTTCGGCTAGAATAAAAGCAGTTATTAATTATTTAAAAACCATTTTTGGGACACAATTATTATCCCATTTAAGATATTTTTTTTTTTTTGATAATCTACAGAACAAACCATCGTTATAAAATAACTTGCCTAATTACCCTAACCTGCCTAGTTACCCTTATTAACCTAGTTAAGCCTTTAAATGTGACTTTAAGCTGTATAGAAGTGTCTTGAAAAATATCAAGTCAAACATTATTTAATGTCATCATGGCAAAGATAAAATAAATCAGTTATTAGAAATAGGTTTTTAAAACTATTATGCTTAGAAATGTGCTGAAACAATCTTCCCTCCATTAAACAGAAATTGGGGAAAAAATAAACAGGGGAGCTAATAATTCTGACATCAACTGTATGAATATATATATATATATACAGGGCTCGAAATTAACTTTTTTACTTGGTAGCACCGGTGCTCCCAACTTCAAATATTCAGGGGCACCAAAATAAATTTAGGAGCACCAGAAAAAATTTAGGAGCACCCACCAAAAATGAATGAGCACCGCTGCAAATAGCTTTTTAAGGGATTTATTGTATTTTAAAACAACATCAATAGGACTGACAAAAACCAGAAACAACTATCTAACTAATGCTGCGAAGACATTGATATTTGTGTGCAATAATTCTAAAATGAATGTCTAATAATTAGGCCATAGAATATTAGTGATGATGAAAATGACAATAATAGTAACAATGAATTCCATTTCTCATTATGATACTGCCTTGAATGTGCATGAATGTAGGTTATCTGCTATAAAATGTCTGTTACTTTATATAAAATAATTGTATAGTTTGCATCAAACAAAAATGAAGCATTGCAGTAAGAAATATTGATTTTGTACTGCTGTTTTTATATGCATGTCAATTTAATAAATAATATTTCTGCTACAAAACAAACAAAAGATTATAATAAATAATTCAATTCAATGATGAAAGCTGCAAAGCAGTCATCAGTAAATAAATAAAAAAATAATATACACCTCAAAAAAGAATAGACAAAACAAAGAAAGTAAAGTCTCACTTCTATCACTCTTTAAAAGTTTTGGTTTCAGTTTGTGTCAATTTAAAGGTTCAGTCTGAGATGATCTTCATTTTTCTGTGTTTGTGGAAAAGCTGGCGAGTCAGCCGACCCAATTTATGAGCAGGCAGAGCAGGATTCTTGCACTAACCATCGGCGCAATACTGGTCTTTGTTATGAGCCGCAGTTTCAGTGATCTCAGCTGGTGGATCATTATTCACCACGTGACGTGTCACGATCTCTCTCATCTACACCTCAACTTTAGATGGGGTTTGCAAACCTGTGTGCTTTAAGTTTTTACTCTTCAGCCGTTTGCATTTCCCGTGGTCATAAAAGCTCCTTCCCTGTCATCTGACAGCGGAATACCTTGAGTGATTGACAGCTAATATGAACCAATATAGCGGCAGGGAAGAGCGATTCAGCACGTTTTTACAAAAAATCAAAACAGGTCGCACTACAACCATTATCAGCAGTTGCACTAATGCGCCCAAATATGTTATGAGGTCGCATAGATTAATTTTCAGGCGCATATGCGACCAAAATGGTCGCAATTTCAGCTTCAAATGTTGTAACAAGCACGTCTGAAATGAGCCCGAATTTCTGTAGATTCCAAACAGTCAGTCCGGATATCCCCGCCTCTTAAAGGGCCAGTACTAAATTACAAAGGGCTCAAAAATAGTCTTCTGGCGCCATCTCGTGGACACTCTGACACGCTTTGAGTCTGAATTTTACAAATTTAATATAAAAAAATATTTATAGGAAAACTGTTATTTATAATTACACCAAATAAATATGATAATTATCTGTAATTTCAAACACATCTTTTGGCCAAATTTGAGGATTGTATACTTTTTTATATGCCCCAAATACTCGATACAATTTTTTAATTAAAAAATTTTTAATTCAAAAACTACAAATCTTATCAGGATGAGGACATACAGCAACCATCTCATGAGCAGTAGGCAGCTTTTGACCAAATTTGGGGCTTGTAGCATCTAAGCCCTGGGAGGAGAAGCGATTGCTTTTTTTTGGTCAGAAGCCGGAATAATAATAATAATAAGAATAAGTTTAAGTAGCATTACAGTATGTTGGCTTTCTCAAGCCAACATAATGATCAATTAATAATAAATCAATAACATACTAATAATAGTAATACAATTTAAAGAATATTTTATTAAATCAATCCATTAAATCAATGTTAACAATATTGATAATAATGAAAATTATTCATAATTCAATCCATCATACATCAGTAACATAATAATATATTATTAATAATAATAATACTAATAATAAATAATCAATCAATCAAATCAGTGTCATATAATAATAGTAATGAAGTTACATAATAAAATTTATAATTATAATATTATATTAATAATAATAATAATAATAATAATACAATTTTAATAACAAAATACATTATAAATAATTTTATCAAATCAATGTTATATAATAATAATATTAATAAATTATGTATCATCAATCATAATCAATGTTATATAATATAGTAATAATAATGAAATTTAAATTATATTTTTAATAAATCAATCCATCAAATCAACGTTATTTAATTATGATAATAATAAATTATCAATCAATCAATCAATCATACGCCAATGTTATATAATAACAGTAATAATGTTATATATTAATAATAATAATAATATTAAAATATCAATAAAAATATATTATAAATCCATCAATCAAATCAACGTTATATAATAATAATAATAAAATAATATTTTTAATAATAATAATAATAATGAATAAATTAATCATAAATCAATGTTACACAATAATTTATTAATAATTGCTTTATGTTACAAAATTAATAATAATTAAATTAAAATAATATTTTAATAAATCAATCCATCAAATCAACTTTATTTAATGATAATAATAGTAACAGCAAATTAGCAATCAATCAATCATAAATTGATGCTAAGGTAATCTTAACAACAACAATATTGATAATAAAAATATTAACAATAATATTAATAATGATCACTAATTCTAGTATAAATAGATGGTATATAATAATAAAAATAATAATGATGATAATAATAATAAAAACAATGTTCATGATAAAAAATAAAAATCATGATAATAATAAATTATAAGCCAATCAATCATAAATAGATGGTATATAATAATAAAATAATACAAAATTCAAACAATCATAAATATACTATATAATAATAATAATAATAATAACCAATTTTCTATGTTTATAACCAATTCAATTCAACCACAAACCAATAATATTGGTGATTTATGATTAGTAAATAGAAATAAGCAAAATAAGAAAAATAAAACTAGCAACATGTTATCATTTTACTAAAATGACAATATTCACATCTTAATATCTTCCTTTTCAAATAATAAACCATGATTTTTTTTTATTTTGAAGTTGAGACTACATGAACTGCACCTGTACTCTACACGGTACTTCAAATAACTCTTTAAAACGAATCCTGTGCAAACTGAGTTACACTAAGTCGGTCATAATGTGTATCATTTTAATGCTAAATCTAAAATAAATAAATGAAAAGTGAACACTAACTTTCATAGTATAGGATGTGATTAATAATTGCCCAGCACTACTATTTTGATCTACTTCTAATGCATGACTTGTATTTTTTCAGTGAGCTTGTAGCAGAGTGTTCTGATGCTTTAGTAATGCAACCAAAATGAAGCATTTAGCAGGCCAATTGAAATTCTTGCTGAAAAAGTATTGTACAGACCAGCAGCTCCAGCAGGAATTCTTTATGGTAGGTGGTTTCCTCTCCATCAGGAAGCTCAGGCAGGAGACACAGGTATGCTGACACTCGGTGGAGGGTACTGGGACTACAGGCAGAGACACCACAAGCACTTTATTAACCCCGGAGAACGGCTTACATTTATATGCAATGTTAACAAATGAGATGAGTTGTTTATTTGTTGCTAAATGAGTGTTGTGCTAATTAAATTGATGCGCAAATCTGAAACATTGAACAAAAGATTTGCAAATAATGTACCAAATCCATCCGATGAGTCAAAGAGAACAAAACGTAACTTTCTGATAAACTAACTATTAGACGCTAAAAAATGCAGTCTTCACAGTAGGTGAAGCCATTAGGGGTCTTTTTTAGTTTTAAAATATACGAGTTGTGCCTCAGAAGACAAAGACGAAACGCAATGAAGGCAATGCGGTGACTTTCGGAGATGAGACACACTCTTTGGGAGCACACACAGATGATCAAGACAGTTCTGGAGGTTATAGAGTAGGGGTGTCAAAATTAATTGTTTCTTTGGTGCACCGCGATGCAGACACGGACAATTCGGTATCGGTTCAGTAATAATCATAACCGGTTATTGTGTACTGACGTCATTTATCTCCTATGCGCTCTGTCGCGAGGGAGGTGAGCGCGAGTATTTACAACACTCAGCCAACTCAGGGCCGGTCCGTGGCATAGGGCACCATGGGCAAATGCTAAGGGCGCTGTATATCCAGTGGAGCGCCAGAAATGAGCGCGGTTCAGTTGGTTTTGTTTCCGATATTCCTGACACACATTCAGTTACAGACGGCAATAACTCAAAAAACGCTTACCCTAAAAAGATCTAAAGTGTGTTTCCAACAAAAAGACAAAGCTGGTTATGTTTCACAGCTGTCTTTCTTTTTTTTCGCTCCACACTACGAGCACTGCTCCGTTTAAGCCCTCGCAATATGTGTTTAGCCGGGAGAGCTCGCGCTGAGAGGAGCTCTCAGCAAGAGACCGTCGGAAAAGTGCTTATTTTTTTCGTTTTTTCGTTCCGCTCTTCGCGAGCTCTCCCTGTTGCGAGGGCTTAAGTGTGTGTGCATGTGTGTGCGTTTGTTTCTTTGGTGCTGTTTATGTTTGTGTTTGAATGAGAGACAGTGTGGTACTGTGTGTCTGTGTGTTTATACAGAAAGCTTGTTATAGCCTCTCCTCTAAAATATAACATTGTATATGGAAAGCATCGTCAATGCACCGTGATGCACCGAAATATCGAATTAAACCGAATCGAAGGCATGATAATCGTAACCGAACCGAACCGTGACACCAGTATAGGTTCACACCTCTATTATAGAATATAATAATACTGAAGAAATGAGCAAATCAACATTTCAGATGTTTTACAATGTGCTTGGAACACTGGTTTGTCCATTAACGTGTCCCATCGTGCACCTTATTATCATCACATGACCTCTTACAACTAAATCAAATCACTTTTTTAATGTTTAAAATATATTTAAAATATAGCTTAAAGGGGCTAATAATTTTGTCCCTGAAATGGTGTTTAAAAAAATAAAAAAAACTGCATTTATTCTAGCCGAAATAAAATTAATAAGACTTTTTCCAGAAGGAAAAATATTATCAGACATACTGTGGAAATTTCCTTGCTCTGTTAAACATCATTTGGGAAATATTTAAAAAAGAAAAAACAATACAGAGGCGGGCGAATAATTCTGACTTCCACTGTACTACTGATATGACAAAAAATTCAATACATATATATTTACACGCATTTATACAAGTAAATAAATAGAGTGAATGATGAGTTGCAGAAAAAGCAGCGGATTTCATTCCTGAAGGTCACCGTGTCTCTATAAAGAGGTGCTGCTTCATCACACTGAAGTGCTCACAGTGAGAAACACAGGTTCCTGGCGTCTCTTACCTGAGATGACCGAAGTGTTTGTTGAGGGACTCTCGCGTGTCCACAGCCGCCACATTAGACAGGGCGAAATCATTGAGCTCAGGGAAATGAGCAAACGCTGCTCTCTGAAAAACAAACCAATGGCAGGCCTTCAGTTTTCAGAAGAGAGAGATTTCAGAATAAATCCAACGAACCAAACAGATACTCAGAGACTGACACACTGCCAAAGCTCATATAACACTTTATCTGGCATCGCGTCCGCCTGGTTGACCTTTTGTGCATAGGCTATTATTAATAAAACCAAAACAAATCATTTAAATTTAGTGGCTGTTTACATTTTGTGTCCAAAACCATGAGCAAAATGTTAGTCGCACTGTTTCCTTCATCAATACATACAAATCATGAACAGGGTTTTCATGAGCTAATGTTTCATGCAATGTCTACACCTGTATTCACCTGCAGAGAGGTGATTCTGTCATAGTGCAGCGTGGTCATCTCTTTCTGTGTCAGAGCATTTCCAGTCTGATCACTGATCTCAAAGCCGGTGTAGAACTTCAGCATGTCCAGCAGCTAACACAGCAAACACAAATGATCACATTAAAGCATAATAAACCTTTGAAAAATGGCAACAATTTATTGTATTCTTTAATCATTTAAAAACCTTAGATGTGGATTGAGTGAAGGTACATGTGTATGTATGTATATGGTTTGTTATTGTAATTTTTTTTCTGTATTTGTATTTTATTTTATTTATTATTATTTTGTTTATTTTATTTATTTATTTATTTATTCAATTGTAGATGTTTATTGTTTATTTGGGGATTGTTTTGTGGATGGTTATAAAATGTAAAATGCTATTTGCAAGAATATAAATTCTATGACAAAAAAAAAAGCATAATAAACTATATATTAAAGGACAACCTTAAAGCGACACTCTCATTTTACAAGTGTCAGAGAGTTAAACGGTTGACTTAATCCATTCAGCCGATTTCTAGTTTTGCCATGGTCACTTTTAGCTCAGCTTAGCATAATGAATTGAATTTGACCATTAGTACTGCAGTACATATTGTGATTATTAAATATATACAAGTAATTGCAATGCAACATGTAACAGAATCATTTTATTCAACAGTACAGTTAAATATTTAAGGCAATATTGATTACTTCATGTTTTTAAACAGGGAAATCAAACTTATATTTAATACATTGCTGGACTTCACTCCGAAACATACATGATGTGGTGTTTATTAAATGTGTGATTTGAGGACTAAAATCAAGGTTTTTGTTTTCCTGGAGTGGTTCAGTGCTGTACCTGGCAGAACAGGTGACCCTCTTTCTCTCTGCCGGTGAGGTGAGACAGCTGGCATTTGACCATCAGATGAGCATCGTCCAGCACAGTGTTGAACCAACGGCGGGTCGGGAGCAGAGCCTTTGCAAAGATGGACATGGTTAATTACATAACAATTGCACAAAAGCACACACATCAGTCTCGAACGAGTGCTCAGAAGAAGAGCTTAAAGAGAAAAAAAAGCTAAAGCAAAAAGCAACACTAATGTTGCAAAAAATATCAAAATTGATTAAAAAGCTTCACGCAGCAGTTGATGTTGAGCACACCGGCTCATTCACTTTATATTTCACAGTATGGTGGAAAATGTCAAGCCTGTTAGTCAACTCAGTCCCCAACAACCCTGTTACTCTGTTTTCATCAACCCTACTACCGACAACACTATTACTGTTACCAACAACCCTTTTATCAACAACTGTTACTGTCAACTCTGTTATCAATAAACCTGTTACTGTTAACTGTTACTGTTACCATCAACCGTTGCTGTTATTGAAAACCGTTATCGACAACCCTGTTACTGTCACAATCAACCCTGTTACTGTTACCATCAACCCTGTTACTGTTACCATGAACTCTGTTACTGTTACCATAAACCCTGTTACTGTTACCATCAACTCTGTTACTGTTATTGAAAACCGTTATCGACAACCGTTACTGTTACCATCAACTCTGTTACTGTTACCATCAACCCTGTTACTGTTACCATCAACCCTGTTACTGTTATTGAAAAATGTAATCGGCAACCCTGTTACTGTCACAATCAACCCTGTTACTGTCACAATCAACCCTGTTACTGTTACCATCAACCCTGTTACTGTTACCATCAACCCTGTTACTGTTACCATAAACCCTGTTACTGTTATTGAAAACCGTTATCGACAACCCTGTTACTGTCACAATCAACCCTGTTACTGTTACCATCAACCCTGTTACTGTTACCATGAACTCTGTTACTGTTACCATAAACCCTGTTACTGTTACCATCAACTCTGTTACTGTTATTGAAAACCTTTATCGACAACCGTTACTGTTACCATCAACTCTGTTACTGTTACCATCAACCCTGTTACTGTTACCATCAACCCTGTTACTGTTATTGAAAAATGTAATCGGCAACCCTGTTACTGTCACAATCAACCCTGTTACTGTTACAGAGAACCCTGTTACGCTGCTACGGACAACCATTACTGTTAGCGTCAACCCTGTTACTGTTTCCACAACCTTGTTATTGTAACTGACAACCCTGTTCCTGTTACCATCAACCCTGTTACTCTGTTACAATCAACACTGTTAGCCTCAACCCTGTTACTCTGTTCCTGATAACCCTGTTACACTAATACAAAAAAACTTGTTACTCTGATAATGACAACCCTGTTACTCTGTTACTGACAACCCTCTTAAAGTTACAGTCAACCCTGTTAATGTTACCATTAACTCTGTTATTCTGTTATCGACAACCCAGTTACCAACAACCCTGTTACTGTTTCCAAAACCCTGTTTTTTTTACTGACAACACTGTTCCTGTTACCAACAACCCTGTTACTGTTACTGCCAACCCTGTTACGACAACCCTTTTACTGTTACAGTCAACCATGTTACTGACAACCCTGTTACTCTGTTCCTGACAAACCCTGTTACTATGATAAAAAAACCTTGCTATAATGATAATTACAACCCTGTTACTCTGTTACCGACAATCCTGTTACTCTGTGACCGACAATCCTATTACAGACAACCCTGTTACAGTCAGCTGTTACTGTCAACCATGTTACTGCTACTGACAACCATGTTACTGTCACCATCAACCCTGTTATTCTGTTATCTACAACCGTTACGCTTACAGCCCAACCTGTTACCGACAACCTGTTAATAGTAAGAATACTGTTACTATTAACCATGTTACTGACAACCGTTACTAACAATCTTGAAACTAATATATCGACAACATTTCTACGGTCACCATCAACCCTGTTATTTTGTTGTCGACAACCGTTACTGTAACCGCCAAGCCTGTTACTGTTACAATCAACCGTGTTACTGACAACCCTGTTACTCTGACATCGACAACACTGTTACTGTTACAGACAATCCTGCTACCTACTCTGTTATCGACAACCGTTACTGTTGCAGCCCAACCTGTTACCGACAACCCTGTTACTGTTACTATTAACCATGTTACTGACAACCCTGTTACTGACAATCTTGTTACTAATATATCGACAACCCTTCTACTGTCACAATCACCTTGTTATTTTGTTATCGACAACCGTTACTGTAACTGCCAAACCTGTTACTGTTACAATCAACACTGCTACTGACAGCCCTGTTACTCTGATATCGACAACCCTGTTACTGTTGCCGACAATCCTGTTACCGACAACCCTGTTACTGTTACTGCCAACCCTGTTATGACAACCCTCTTACTGTTACTGTCAACCCTGTCACTGTTACTGCCAACCCTGTTATGACAACCCTCTTACTGTTACTGTCAACCCTGTTACTGTTACTGCCAACCCTGTTATGACAACCCTCTTACTGTTACTGTCAACCATGTTACTGTTACTGACAACCCGGTTACTGACAATCTTGTTACTAATATATCGACAACCCTTCTACTGTCACCATCAACCCTGTTATTTTGTTATTGACAACCGTTACTGTAACCGCCAAATCTGTTACTGTTACAATCAACCGTGTTACTGACAACCCTGTTACTCTGATATCGACAGCCCTGTTACTGTTACCGACAATCCTGTTACTATTACCATCAACCGTGTTACTCTGTTATCGTCAACCCTCTTACTTTTTCCGACAACCCTGTTAGAGTCAACTCTGTAACCATCAACCCTGTTACTGTCAACCATGTTACCCTGTTACACTTATACCAACAACCCTGTTATTGCTAGTCAACCATGTTACTCTGTTATCGACATCCCAGTTACTGTCAACCCTGTTACTGTTACCGACAACCCTGTTTCTGTCAACCATGTAACATGGTACTGTTATTGTCAACCCTGTTACTCTGCTGCTTTTAACCCTGTTACTGTCAACACTGGTATGCTTCAAAATGTAAAAAAAAAAGTAGAAAAACAATTATTACCAGATTAAATTTCCCCCGTCACATAAACATTTAGCATTTTTTTATATTGATAGTGCATTAAACTTACTGTAAACTATACATTTGTTGGCGGAATCTTTTATTAAATACTAGTTGCCATACACCTTATTTTCATTTGCTAATGTTAACTAATTGTGATATCTCGGTTAATTTCTCATTTACTTTTTAAAACATAAAATGCTATGTGGTATTTGGCTTAAGGCTTATAACCTTAAGCACAAAGTGGTGTAAAATGTCAGCTTTGTTATGCTTGCACAATTATTTTAACCACAATTAGTAACAGAATCAAGCATTTTGTATTATTGTACATTAATAACGTACCAATTTTACAGTAAGCTATAAATATGTTGTCTGTCATTCCAAATGAATGGAAAATGCTGGAGATGTACCAGAAATTCACATAAAAAACAGTATTGTTTCAGCTCGTGAAGCAGAGGCAGAACAGCTGGTGCGAAACATACCTCCAGGTCAATCATGAACTCAATGAATCGCTCGCAGTAGTGAATCTTCTCCATGGAGACGCTGCCTAGAGCAACACAAGCCACAAAACACACATTACAGCACTGACAACACGCCTCATTTCACACACACAGGCAGGGCATTCTGGGGCGGATGGAGGATCTGGCTATGAAGAGTGACAGTATTATGATCGTCTCATAAACTGGCCACTTGAGCGTCACGCCGTCCCGGGCCTGAACAGGTGCATGATGGGAAGAGGGCACATGGCCTGTGTTAGCAGAGCAGCGAGAGACGCTGCAGGCGAACAGCAGCTGCTCTGAAGCTGGGTCACGTCACAGGATGAAGGAAACACACAGAGAAGCGCAAATGAAGTCACAGCCTTAGGGGATGACAGGAACACTGAAGCATTATGGGTAACAGAAATCAAGCCCAGTTTTAACATGTAGCATTTTATAAGCACTGACAAACGAGGATTTTTGGGTGCTTTTTTCTAGCAAACGTCTTTCTGTCAGCCTGTGGTTCATGTATCTTTTGGTTGAAATCGGTACTGCTTTAAATGAAGCAGCCCTAGGAATAGCTTTGATTTTGTTAGTAATATTTCAAGACGAAAGCATTCTGGACTGAAGCAACTCGCTTCATAGTGTAGTGACGGAAAAATAAAACACATTCTGCCATTTTCTAAATGTTTTGCTATTCTTTCTTGAATAGATTCTAAGATTAGTTTTTAACAGCAGATGATTCTGTATGGTTTACAAACAGCCACAGTCTGCTTGCATCCAATTCCCTACCAATACCACTTGAATCTAAAATGATCATAAATAAATTAGAACATGTACATGACTGAAGGAGTATATGATCAAACTCTAGGCTAGAGAGCCATCAGAGCGCCATGTGGATATAAACTAGCCTAGAGCGTCATCTGCTGTCATCTGCTGTTAAACACTAGCCTAAAGGATCACATTTGCAGTTAAAAACTAGTCTAGAGCGCCATGTGCTGTTAAAAACTAGCCTAAAGTGCCGTTTGCTGTTAAAATCTAGCCTAGAGCGCCATCTGCTGTTAAAACTAGCCTAGAGTGCCGTTTGCTGTTAAAACTAGCCTAAAGCGCTATCTGCTGGTAAAAACTAGCCTTGAGCATTGTCTGCTGTTAAAAACTAGCATAGAGCGCCATCTGCTGTTAAAAACTAGCATAGAGCGCCATCTGCTTTTAAAAAATAGCCTAAAGCACTGTCTACTGTTAAAAACTAGCATAGAGCGCTATCTGCTGTTAAAAACTAGCCTAAAGCGCTGTCTACTGTTAAAAACTAGCATAGAGCGCTATCTGCTGTTAAAAACTAGCCTAGAGCGCCGCCTGCTGTTAAAAACTAGCCTAGAGTGCAATCTTCTGTTAAAAACTAGCATAGAGCGCCAACTGCTGTTAAAAAACTAGCCTAGAGCACCGTCTGCTGTTAAAAACTAGCATACAGCGCCAACTGCCATTAAAAACTAGCCTAGAGCGCCATCTGCTGTTAAAAACTAGCAGAGCGCCAACTGCTGTTAAAAACTAGCCTAGAGCGCCAACTGCTGTTAAAAACTAGCCTAGAGCGCCAACTGCAGTTAAAAACTAGCCTAAAGCGCCGTCTACTGTTAAAAACTAGCCTAAAGCACTGTCTACTGTTAAAAACTAGCATAGAGCGCCATCTGCAGTTAAAAACTAGCCTAAAGCGCTGTCTACTGTTTAAAAACTAGCATAGAGCGCCATCTGCTGTTAAAAACTAGCCTAGAGCGCCGCCTGCTGTTAAAAACTAGCCTAGAGTGCAATCTTCTGTTAAAAACTAGCATAGAGCGCCAACTGCTGTTAAAAAACTAGCCTAGAGCACCGTCTGCTGTTAAAAACTAGCATACAGCGCCAACTGCCATTAAAAACTAGCCTAGAGCGCCATCTGCTGTTAAAAACTAGCAGAGCGCCAACTGCTGTTAAAAACTAGCCTAGAGCGCCAACTGCTGTTAAAAACTAGCCTAGAGCGCCAACTGCTGTTAAAAACTAGCCTAGAGCGCCAACTGCAGTTAAAAACTAGCCTAAAGCGCTGTCTACTGTTAAAAACTAGCATAGAGCGCCAACTGCTGTTAAAAACTAGCCTAGAGCGCCAACTGCTGTTAAAAACTAGCCTAGAGCGCCAACTGCAGTTAAAAACTAGCCTAAAGCGCCGTCTACTGTTAAAAACTAGCCTAAAGCACTGTCTACTGTTAAAAACTAGCATAGAGCGCCAACTGCAGTTAAAAACTAGCCTAAAGCGCTGTCTACTGTTAAAAACTAGCATAGAGCGCCATCTGCTGTTAAAAACTAGCCTAGAGCGCCGCCTGCTGTTAAAAACTAGCCTAGAGTGCAATCTTCTGTTAAAAACTAGCATAGAGCGCCAACTGCTGTTAAAAAACTAGCCTAGAGCACCGTCTGCTGTTAAAAACTAGCATACAGCGCCAACTGCCATTAAAAACTAGCCTAGAGCGCCATCTGCTGTTAAAAACTAGCAGAGCGCCAACTGCTGTTAAAAACTAGCCTAGAGCGCCAACTGCTGTTAAAAACTAGCCTAGAGCGCCAACTGCTGTTAAAAACTAGCCTAGAGCGCCAACTGCAGTTAAAAACTAGCCTAAAGCGCTGTCTACTGTTTAAAAACTAGCATAGAGCGCCAACTGCTGTTAAAAAACTAGCCTAGAGCGCCGTCTGCTGTTAAAAACTAGCATAGAGCGCCAACTGCTGTTAAAAAACTAGCCTAGAGCGCCGTCTGCTGTTAAAAACTAGCATAGAGCGCCAACTGCAGTTAAAAACTAGCCTAGAGCGCCATCTGCTGTTAAAAACTAGCAGAGCGCCAACTGCTGTTAAAAACTAGCCTAGAGCACCGTCTCCTGTTAAAAACAGCATGATACTGAAGGAACGCGTTTACCTGATGCAGAGATGGAATCGAGAACTGCCAGGAACTTTTTTATGAGGGAGGCGAGGAAGGTGCGCTCTTTCTTTGCTCTGTGAAAAACACAGTTTGTGAGACACACAGCAAAAGGTTTTGATGCCTGTTATGTTTATGAGCTGTGAGAGGCTTCATCTTACTGCTCCTGATCCTGTGTGTTCATCTTCTCATAGTTCTTTTTAATGAGGTTCCAGAACTTCTGCAGTTTAGGGACTGTCTTCAGTTCCTGCTGAAGCCTCGTCTGGAAAATGACAAAATCTGGAGTCACTTTCAAACATTTTTTTTCAGTATTCCCTATAATATTTTTTTCTTCTGGAGAAAGTCTTGTTTTTATTTCGGCTAGAATAAAAGCAGTTTTAATTTTTTTTTTTTTTTAAATCCCCTTTAAGCTATTATATTTAATATAAAAATTTAAAAAATTTATAAAAATAAAAAAATAAACAGGGGGGCTAATAATTTTGACTTAAACTGTGTGTGTATGTATGTATATATATATATATATATACACACATACATACATACACACAGTTTAAGTCAAAATTATTAGCCCCCGTTTATTTTTTTATTTGTATTTTTTTCTGTGTAACAGAAGATTTTTTTTAACACATTTCTAAACATAATAGTTATAATAACTCAGTTCTGAAAACTGATCTATTTTCTCTTTGCCATGATGAAAGTAAATAATATTTTACTTGATATTTTCAAGACACTTCTATACAACTTGAAGTGACATTTAAAGGCTTCACTAGGTTAATTAGGTTAACTAGGCAGGTTAGGGTAATTAGGCAAGTTATTGTATAATGATGATTGGTTCTGTAGACTATCAAAAATATATAGCTTAAAGGGACTTAAATGTTTTTTTAAAAAATTAAAAACTGCTTTTATCCTAACCAAAAAAACAAAAACAAATAAGACTTTCTCCAGAAGAAAAACCATTATCAGACATACTGTGAAAATTTCTTTGCTCTGTTCAACATAATATGGGAAATATTTAAAAAAAGAAAAAAAAAAATCAAAAGGGGGCTAATAGTTCTGACTATATATATATATATATATATTATAAATGCATAGTGTATATGTGTGAGCATACCTGCCAACACTCCTGTTTTTCCTGGGAGTCTACTGTATGTCAGACCCATCTCCCGCATTTTAGACCCATCTCCCGCCACCCTCCCGTTTTGTTATTTATCCCGGAAAATTCCTGTAATTTCAACCACCCTACACGACTTGATTCAACTGGAGTCTGCTACAGTGTTTGTTTGCTACTTTTTTTGTGGGCGGGGCAAGGGGTTAAATTTTCCTGGGTTTGGTCATGCAACAATTGGGCGGGGCTAAAGTATTGATGTCATGCTGAAACGGCTAAAGACTCCTTAATAAGACGATTCATTTGAAGTACTCGGAGTCGACTCTTTTATAGATGAATCAATAGTTTTAAACACTGCACTTTCAGATTTAAGCCTTAGCTGGATATTTCACTTCACTTGGAGCTGTTATGGAAATGTTCAGATATACATATGGAAATGTGTGTGTGAGACGCATGAATATTCACCGGCAGCAGACACATCCACATGGGCAGAGACACAAGCTTCTGCACCTGCTCACGGATCAAATCCACTTCCTGCAATGAAGAACACAACCCACAAACAGCCAATTAGATGCAAGAAACAGACCCAAAACCTGAGATCACAGCACACTTGAAAACACAACATCAGTCTCTGCACACTCCCACATTAGTCTACTAGCCACAGCTGTATAAAGTCTCCTGACTGGAGCATGTCCAATACTACAGATGAGCGTTCTTCATCCACACACACACACACACACACACACACACACGAGCGGAAACGCACATGATTAGCACACAAACACTAGACAATGAGAGCTCATCAACAATGCTAATGGTCCATCTGCTTGAGTGTGGGAAACACTGTGCCTTAAATTAGCAGACTGACAAAAATAGATGGAAACAGCCTCGCATTGAAGCCTTCATTGAACCCTGTGTGGTTGTATTACTGAAGCCTTCAGCACAGTGAGCTGAAACAATATAATACAGTCTATTTTCGATGTGCAACAGCACCACCAAGTGCTGATGTGCAGAAAATAAACACAGGTAATGAAGGAAATTATGTAGAAAGGGTGATTAAAAGGTAATTATTATGCACATGTAAGGGCCTACTCACACTATGCCATCCGTACCGTGCCCAGGCCCGTTTCCCGGATCGTTTGAGAAGTGTGGGTGCGCTGAATCGCGCTCAAGCACGGTTCACTTGGCCGGCCCTGGCCCGGTTGGAAGAGGTGTGCCTGAGCGCGGTACACTTGGGCTTTGGCGCGGTACGCTTGAGTGTGAGCGCAAAACGCGCCAAAGCCCGAAACCGAAAGCGAGACGTGACTTTTAAGGGACTGTTTGATATGGATTAATAATCATTCTTACTGTTCAGTGATCGCAAACTGCTGTAGTTTATTAAAGACGCAAACTCCTCACTGCACGCCAGCTGCACCTTCAGCAGACCTCCTCATTCCTGCAGCACGAAAGCTTTATGATTGTTTATGAGCACCAAAAGTGGCGGATCTGTTCGGCGAAATATCTGACTGCGTGTCACCACATCCCTAAGGACTGTTTGGCGAAATATTTGACGGCATATCAAACGACTGAAACGATATAACTAGAGAAATCTCCACTGTGCTGCTGAGTGAGAGCGTATGGCAAGCCGTTTTAGCATTTAAACCTTGTTCTGACTATCCATAAATATATTTAGAAATATCTCTAATTATATTTTGACTAGTCATAATTATAATTCGACTAGTCATATTCCTCCATTGACTTCCATTGAAAAAATATTTGCAGATATCTCTAACTGAGTTTTGACTTGTCAAAAATCCAATTCAAGATATCTACAACTGTAATTCGACTATTAGTAAATTAATTAGAGATCTTCAAATATATTTGTAAATATCTCTAAATATGATGAATTAAAGACATCTCCAAATGTATTATGACTAGTAAAAACTCAGAGATATCTCTAATTACAATTGTGACTAGTCAAAACTCATTTAGAGATATCTGCAAATATTTTTCAATGGAAGTCAATGGAGGAATATGACTAGTCATAATATATTTGCAGATATCTCCCATCTGATTTCGTACTAGTACAATTGTAATTGCAGATATCTCTAATTGTTATTCTGACTAGTCGAATTATAAATATGACAAGTCAAAATATAATTAGAGATATCTCTAAATATATTTATGGAGTCAGAACAAAGATTTAAATGCTAAAAAGGCTTGCCATAGAGAGCGCTTCTGAACAGCGCAGCAGCGATGACGTAAGCGTGCCGAGGCCCGATATGGTGTGAGCGCGGGCCGTCGGGGGAGACAGGAGGGGGGACAAGCGTGCTTTGGCCCGGTTCGAGGCAACTGTACCTAGTGTGAGTACGGCCTAAGACAAAAATAGATATATTATGCTGGTGGAAAGTCTCTTTACATCACGACTGCACTCAATTTATGTGTCTAAACATTATATTTAGATGTATTTACATCACCTGCTGAAGGTGTCAAAGTTGGACCAAACAAACAATCAATTCAGTCAATATTTGTATTTGTAACCCCTGGACATTTTTTTTTTTTTGCTCTGACAGGAAACGTCATCAGCACCTTATCACTTTGCAGACTTATAATTACATCATTACTGAAACATTAAGTAAAACTAGATATTTAAGTTTGAAGGCAAACTTTATGGTGGTTTATTAGCATGTTTTAAGCATTAGTTAGCATATTTCTAGTATAAATTAGCATGCTAACATCTGTCTAGTATACATTAACATGATTCTAGTATGCATTAGCATGATTTCAGTATGAACTGACATGTTTTTAGCATCTTTCTAGTAGGAATTAGCATGTTGCTAGCATGTTTCCAGCATGCATTAACATAATTATAGTATTAAATTAAGATGTTGGTATCTCTCTAGTATAAATTAGCATGTTGCTAGCATGTTTCTAGTATGCATTAACATAAATCTAGTATAAACTTACATGTTGCTAGCATGTGTTTAGTATGCATTAACATAATTCGAGAATGAATTAACATGTTGTTAACATTTCTAGTATGAATTAGCATGTTGCTAGCATGTTTCTAGTATGCATTAACAAAACATTAAGTAAAACTAGATATTTAAGTTTGAAGGCAAACTTTATGGTGGTTTATTAGCATGTTTTAAGCATTAGTTAGCATATTTCTAGTATAAATTAGCATGCTAACATCGGTCTAGTATACATTAACATGATTCTAGTTTGCATTAGCATGATTTCAGTATGAACTGACATGTTTTTAGCATCTTTCTAGTATGAATTAGCATGTTGCTAGCATGTTTCCAGCATGCATTAACATAATTATAGTATTAAATTAAGATGTTGGTATCTCTCTAGTATAAATTAGCATGTTGCTAGCATGTTTCTAGTATGCATTAACATAAATCTAGTATAAACTTACATGTTGCTAGCATGTGTTTAGTATGCATTAACATAATTCGAGAATGAATTAACATGTTGTTAACATTTCTAGTATGAATTAGCATGTTGCTAGCATGTTTCTAGTATGCATTAACAAAACATTAAGTAAAACTAGATATTTAAGTCTGAAGGCAAACTTTATGGTGGTTTATTAGCATGTTTTAAGCATTAGTTAGCATATTTCTAGTATAAATTAGCATGCTAACATCTGTCTAGTATACATGAACATGATTCTAGTATGCATTAGCATGATTTCAGTATGAACTGACATGTTTTTAGCATCTTTCTAGTATGAATTAGCATGTTGCTAGCATGTTTCCAGCATGCATTAACATAATTATAGTATTAAATTAACATGTTGGTATCTCTCTAGTATAAATTAGCATGTTGCTAGCCTGTTTCTAGTATGCATTAACATAAATCTAGTATGAACTTACATGTTGCTAGCATGTGTTTAGTATGCATTAACATAATTCGAGAATGAATTAACATGTTGTTAACATTTCTAGTATGAATTAGCATGTTGCTAGCATGTTTCTAGTATGCATTAACAAAACATTAAGTAAAACTAGATATTTAAGTTTGAAGGCAAACTTTATGGTGGTTTATTAGCATGTTTTAAGCATTAGTTAGCATATTTCTAGTATAAATTAGCATGCTAACATCGGTCTAGTATACATTAACATGATTCTAGTTTGCATTAGCATGATTTCAGTATGAACTGACATGTTTTTAGCATCTTTCTAGTATGAATTAGCATGTTGCTAGCATGTTTCCAGCATGCATTAACATAATTATAGTATTAAATTGAGATGTTAGTATCTCTCAAATATAAATTAGCATGTTGCTAGCATGTTTCTAGTATGCATTAACATAAATCTAGTATGAACTTACATGTTGCTAGCATGTGTTTAGTATGCATTAACATAATTCGAGAATGAATTAACATGTTAACATTTCTAGTATGAATTAGCATGTTGCTAGCATGTTTCTAGTATGCATCAACAATTCTAGTATGAATTAGCATGTTGCTAGCATATTTCTAGTAGGTATTAATGTAATATTATTAACGTATTATTAAATTAAAATGTTGTTAAAATTTCTAGTATGAATTAGCATGTTGCTAGCATATTTCTTGTATGCATTAACATAATTCCAGTATGAATTAACATGTTGTTAGCATCTTTCTAGTATGAACTAGCATGGTTTGGCATGTTGTTTACATGATTCCAGTGTGAATTAGCTTGTTGTTAGCATGAATTAGCCTGTACAATTAAGCGTGTGCACTGACCAGGCTGTTGAAGCAGTGGTCCAGGAAGAGCAGAAGCACCGTTTGCTCCTTCAGAGAGAGGCCGAACTGTTCGCCGGACAAACACAACTCCATCACCCGCTGGAAGAAGTGAGGGAAGTGTGTGGGCGCTTTCTTAAACACCTGAAGAGACAAAAACACACCGTTTCACCGCACACACACAGTGACTTGCCTGATTACTCTAATTTGCTGAGTTAACCTAATTAAAGCTTTAAATTAAACTATGCTGAATACTAGTATAATTGTAATATAACTAGTGAAATATTATGTACTGTCATTATGGCAAAGACTAAATAGGGTTTTTAAAATGTTAAGGAATGTTTAACATTATAGAGCATACACGCACCGGCCACTTTATTAGGTACACCTGTCCAACTGTTTGTTAACACAAATTCCTAATCAGCCAATCACATGGCAGCAACTCAACGCATTTAGACATGGTCAAGACGATCTGCTGCGGTTCAAACCGAGCATCAAAATAGGGAAGAAAGGGGATTTAAGGGACTTTGAACGTGGCATGGTTGTTGGTGCAAGACGGGCTGGTCTGAGTATTTCAGAAACTGCTGATCTACTGGGATTTTCACGCACAACCATCTTCAGAGTTTACAGAGAATGGTCTGCAAAAGAGGAAATATCCAGTGAGCAGCAGTTCTGTGGGCGCAAATGCCTTGTTGATGAGGCCAGAGGTCAGAGGAGAATGGCCAGACTGGTTCCAGCTGATAGAAAGGCAAGAGTAGCTCAAATAAGCACTCGTTACAACCGAGCTCTGCAGAAGAGCATCTCTGAACACACAACACGTCCAACCTTGAGGCGGATGGGCTACAGCAGCAGAAGAGCACACCGGGTGCCGCTCCTGTCAGCTAAGAACAGGAAACTGAGGCTACAATTCACACAGACTCACCAAAACTGGACAATAGAAGATTGGAGAAACGTTGCCTGCTCTGATGAGTCTCCATTTCTGCTGCCACATTCGGATGGTCGGGTCAGAATTTGGCCTTAACAGCATGAAAGCATGGATCCATCCTGCCTAGTATCAGCAGTTCAGGCTGGTGGTGGTGGTGTAATGGTGTGGGGGAGATTTTCTTGGCACACTTTGGGTCCATTAGTACCAATTGAGCATCATGTCAACACCACAGCCTACCTGAGTATTGCTGCTGACCATGTCCATCCCTTTAGGACCACCGTGTACCCATCTTCTGATGGCTACTTCCAGCAGGATAACACACCATGTCATAAAGCATGAATCACCTCAGACTGGTTTCTTAAACATGACAATGAGTTCACTGTACCTCAAATGGCCTCCACAGTGCCCAGATCTCAATCCAATAGAGCACCTTTGGGATGTGGTGGAACGGGAGATTGGCATCATAGATGTGCAGCCGACAAATCTGCAGCAACAGCGTGATGCTATCATGTCAACATGGAGCAAAATCTCTGAGGAATACTTCCAGAACCCTGTTTAATCTTTGCCATTAAGGATTAAGGCAGTTCTGAAGCCCAAATGGGTCCAACCTGGTACTAGTAAGGTGTACCTAATAAAGTGACCGGTGAGTGTATTTATGTGCACGTGTGTGCAATTGGTTTTCAGTTGCAGAAAATGAAGTGCATCACTAGTGAAGCTCATTGTTCATACTCAAAAATGCCATTTCTATCATTGTCTTCAATGTGCTTCATGTCAAATCTATCCAGTCATTAACTTCTCCACACAAACCTCCCAAGCGGGGACGTTTTCCCGAAACTTCTCATTGACGATGCAGCAGATGGACATCATGTAGCTGTTAGTGGAGGCTTCAGGCGTGTAGTTCGGCCACAGGAAGTTCTCCAGATATTGACTGCGAAATATACAACAAGAACATCAACAGACAACACACACACACACTAAATGTATGTCAAAACGTGTGTGTACATCACTAACCTAAACTCCAGAAGCATAATTTTTCTGATGGAAAATCTGAAGAGAAGCAAAGTCAAAGTCAAACAAATCGGTCGAAAATGTTCATTTGAAACTGCGCATTTAACAACTTCCACAATTCTGAGTACACTGGGATTCACACAGTTGATTTGTGTTGGGACGGCATAAAGGAATTAAGTTAACTTATTAAATTTGACATTCATTTATGTTGATTGAACATAAAACAATTGAGTTTTCACAAAAACACCCCTAAAGAATTGTGTTGTTTCAGCTCATTTTAAACAAACAGTGAACAACCTTTTTTGAAAGCACAAACACAAGACAGGTGGACTTAACACAACAATAACAACAAAAGTAGCACAACAAACAATAAATACACTAGCTACGAACTTTTACAAGAAGCCAGCATGATTGGTCTTACTTTGATTTGAGGATCTCATTCTGGTAAACCTCTTCAATGATCTGAAAATAGAAAATGTTTGCCAGATTCATTATAAATCCAGGTTTTACGTAGAAGTTGATCATTCACTACCATAAAACAAGCACTTTTGGACATAAACAACATCAATCAATCATTAAGCACCATTAAGTAAAGAAACTGTATGAGATTAAAGACGCTTCTCTTTATATAAGACAAGGATGTGTTTGGTGTCTGTGCTGAATTTACACACAGAGTACATCAATTGCAAGTGTTTAGCTTAATGTTTTATATTACAGCTGCACGATTCTGGCTAAAATGGGAATCGCGATTTATTTGTTTAAAATAAAGATCACGATTCTCTCACGATTCTGTAGATGTAAAATAAAGCTTAATATGAGATTATTGTTTTTTCTCAAACACATGGTAAAACAACAGTATTAATATTATGTGTAGGTCTATTGGTTTCTATAAATAATTATATTCTACTTATAATAATTCTGATGTTGAATTATGTTTGAGATATAGGCCTATGCTTGAAATAATGGGGTCGAATCGAGATTGCCACCTTTTTTCAATTAATTGCGCAGCTCTATTTTATATATATATATATATATATATATATATATATATATATATGAGCAATTCAGTGCAAATGTCACCAAAGTTTTCACCAAAATACGGAGACTGTTCCTGGGTATTTTTGTGTAAGCAAGTATTCTACAGTACTTTAGAAATACTCAAAAATGCATCTGTCAATGTTTTCAAACTATTCTATTTGATTTACCAAAGTCAGACAAATGGCAATTTCACATCCATAACAACACTTTTTCCTCATAGTATTTAAATCATTAAAAAATATTAAATAAAGTAAATAATTTTAGTTATATTGAGAGCCATCATTTATACTTTTGATTATCATTGTTTCTTTTGGTTGTGCAGTTTAATTCACAGAATTGCTACTAAGTATGTTGTATACTGTAAACCTGCAGACTTTTGTTTGTCACATCCCTAACGCATGTTTATTTTCCTCATTTAAGTACAAAACATGTTTACAGATTGATATTTTTCTGGTCCCTTAACTGAGGTCCCCTGTTCTGGAAAATATAAACAGAAGTTTAATATAATGTAAATGTATACTTTCTATGCAATTTTATGTTTTGAGTTTTTTCTGCAAATGTCACGTCCATAACACTGGAATTGCTCATATATAATATATAGAAACTATAATATATAGAAACTATATATATATATATATATATATAGACAAAGTAGTAGCTAAGATTTAGAGAAGATCAGAATTAAATGTCCTAAGTCAAGAAATGTCCTAAGACTTATTCACACACACACAAACACACACACACACACACTAACACAATATGGTCAGTTTAGTTAATCATTTACCCTATAGCGCATGTGTTTGGACTGTGGGGGAAACCGGAGAACCCGGTGAAAACCCACGCCAACACAGGGAGAACATGCAAACTCCACATAAAAACGCCAACTGACAAAGCCAGGACTTAAACCAGCCACCTTCTTGCTGTGAGTCCACTGTGCTAACCATTGACCCACCTTGCCACCCCAGCATAAGGACTTCACAAGACAATTAATGAGGCAATCTGTGATCCTTATGTAGAGTCATTAAATGAGCCACCCATTCATTTTTCTGCTAAGAACAATACAATTAACAGTACAACGTAAAGCTGAATAACACTTATTGTGTTGATGTTTGAAAACACCATCTCTGGCTTATAAATTCTGCAAAACTCAACGCTCAAGTGAGAATTAAAGCTCAAATTTGTCACGTCTCTTACCTTAGAGTCAAACGGTAATTTATTCTTGACATGAGGTGCCCAGTACTTGTTTGAAAGCTTGAGGGAGAATAGAAACACAAAGATAGATGAGCTTATTGAGTGCAGTTACAGATTTCCCTTGTTCTTCATCATCATCATCATCATCATCATTAATGCTGCGTCCCAATTTGCCTACTATCCGATAGAGGTAAAGTTGGTTTTATATTCGCACATTCGTTCATTTAGCAGTGTCTATATTGTTTACTATGTTACTTTGAATATTCGATCGGAATTAGCATGCAAGTGTGACTTCTAAACAACATTAACACTGGTTATTTGACTGTGAACAATGTTGTACTTTGATAGTCATTGGCTGCTAATATGATTTCACTGTTTGGAGTTTGCAAATAATACTTTAAAGAAATTATATTATTAAAGGGAAAGTCTGAATGTGTGAATATAAAACCAACTTTACCTCTAAGTTATGTACTATCCGCCCTAAATAGTATTCAACAATAACATCAGTGACCCAAATTGTAGTGTTGAAAAGGGTATGCCAAAGGTCCCCAGATGATCTACTATTTCTGGTTCGAAGTGTTTACTTTAGCTACAGAATTTAGAATTTGTAAAGATTACTTTTCTGAAATTATATTATAAGGAGAAAGTCTGAATATACAAATATAAAACCAACTTTACCTCTATCTCTGAAAAATAGAGATAAAGTTGGCTTTATATTGGGATATTCACACATTCTCTTTAATAACATAGTTTTAGAAAAGTATTATTTGCCAATTGTAAATAGGGAAATCATATAACAGAGGTAAAGTTGGTTTTATATTCGCACATTTGTTCATTTAGCAGTCTCTATATTAGCAGCAAATGACTATCAAAGTACAACATTGTTCACAGTGAATTAGATAGTGTTAATGTTGCTTAGAAGTCATACTTGCATGCTAATTCCCATCGAATATTCAAAGTAATATAGTAAACAATATAGAGACTGCTAAATGAACGAATGTGCGAATATAAAACCAACTTTACCTCTATATACACCTGCGCAGTTGCCGAGGAAAAATCCAAATAAAATCTCACCTGAGTGACAAACTCCGCGTTTATTTGAGACACTGAGGGCGCAGAGGTTTTCACCAGCCTTGAGTCTTTCTGCAGGACCGACATCTTAAAATGAATTAACGTTAACTAAGTTACACGACCATTAAATACAATCCAACAGTCCTGCGAGTTGGTTCATTCACTTCAGTTTAACGACTGAAAAGTCCATTCACAGCAGTCCGCGTTCACTTCTGGACACCAGCAAGATTAGACTCCCGCTGCAACGTCAAACTTATCAATACCGATCATCAATATAAACTTTGTTTACAACACGGACGTTATGTGTACGTTAGTAGCTTTAGCCACAAGCTAACATGTGTGCAACTGAAAGTCGCGGCTGATGACAACTTCCGCTTCCTAGGGACACTTACAGAATAAAAGTCTAAAATAAACTGAAAACTTGACATTTAGAGCACTTTTTTTTCTCATTGCAACTGATATATATGAATTTATTAAAGTTAGATACGGATATAATTACATTTAAGAACAGCAGATGCTTTTGTTCATTATTGTTCCCGTTCCCACTCTTTCTGTCCAAGCCTGTTTTCATCAGTATAAGTTTGTTTTAAATCTACCACACAATCAGTTAAAACCCCTCAAAAATAATGTATATTTAATCATTTAATTTGCATAACATTTCTATGAATGGGTGTCATGGTGGTGCAGTGGGTAGCATGATTGCCTCACAGCAAGAAAGTCGCTGGTTCGAGTCTGAGCTGGGTCAGTTGGCATTTCTTCATTCCCTGTGAATTTAATAAACTAAAATGCCCATAGTGTATGTGTGTGAATGAGTGTGTATGGGTGTCTCCCAGTACTGGGTTGCAGCTGGAAGGGCATCCGCTGCGTAAAACATATGCTGGGTAAGTTAGCGGTTCATTCTGCTGTGGCGACCCCTGGTTAATAAAGGGACTAATCTGAAATGAAAATGAATGAATGATCTACTTTCACATCTTAATGTTGACATGCTCAGACTGCTGTACTTTCATTGTTCTCCTCGCGCTAGCAAACTAAACATTGTAAACGTTGATTTCACACAGACTTTAATCAACATTTGGATTTATAAATGCTACATTAAAATGTGATGATCAAGCTTTTACAAATATCCATATTAACAATACTTCTGGGAATCCATACCTCAGACAAATCCAGCTTTTTCCATCCCATTTTGAGTAACTCTTATTCGTCAGGTACGGCAACCAAAATCCAACATCTGATAGTCGTCATATTAGTAACATCCACACAACATCAAGCTGTAACATCATTACACGTTGACATTTGGTTGATTTTAGGTTGTCCTGGAAAGTGACCAAAATCCAACCTCGAGTCAACATTTTAAATCAATGTCATATTGACGTCAAATACTGACATTTATTTGCCAAATACGGCAAACAACATCCAACGTCTGATAGATGTCAGATTAGTAGCGTCAACACAACGCCAAGCAGTAGCATCATTAAACGTTGATATTTGGTTGATTTTAGGTTGTGTTGGAAAGTGACCAAAATCCAGCGTCGAGTCAACATCTTGAACCAACGTCATATTGACATCAAAAACTGATCTTTATTCGTTAGGTATGGCAACAAAAATCCAACGTCTGATAGACGTCATAAAGGTAATGTCCACACAGCTTTAAGCTGTATTAGATGTACATTAGACGTTGATATTTAATTGATTTTAGGTTGACTGTTGACGTCAGCCTTACGTTGAGTTCTGATGTTAGCCCAGTTTTCACTTACAAACAAACTGTAAAAAAGGTTCATCCAGTTAGTTAGTTATCCAAAGAGAACATTCATTTATTGGTTAAAACACACAAAATGCCCACAGATGCTGTATGAAACAGATAAATAAACAGTGATCTACAGTATTGAATGCAGCTGTTTGAGTGAAAGTGAGAGCTGGGATCTGAGGTCAGTGTTGGTCAGCAGATGTTTGTGTGTGAATGTCCGTCTGCTGGACACACACATGACGCCCTATCTGCTGTGTGTACGTCTGAGTCTGTCTGTGGCGTATCTGGCACAGCTGGAGCAGCAGAAACTGGAGTAATACGGGCTGGAGCAGAGACGCGCGTAAACAATCAGCTTACAGTTCGCCAGTTCGGGCTGATCAACACAGTCTGATGAAGAAAACTGACCCCCGTCTATATCTGCAAATGAAGAGAGAGAGAGAGAGAGAGAGAGAGAGACATTTACAAGTATATCTGATCATGTAGTCATAGAGCTATGAAGGCAATCTGATTCGAACCTTTCATTGCACATTTCAGATGACAAATCCACTAGAAGGCGCTGTCTACATTTGTTCGGATCTGAAATACGTTACTTAGGGCACATTTTGTTGTACATTTTAGATGACACATCCACTAGAGGGTGCTGTCGACATTTGTGCAAGTCTAAAATACGCTACTTAGGGTACGTTTTGTTGTACGTTTCAGATGACAAATCCACTAGAGGGCGCTGTCTACATTTGTGTGAATCTGAAATACGTTACATAGGGTACGGTTTGTTGTACATTTTAGATGACAAATCCACTAGAGGGCGCTGCCAACATTTGTTTGAATCTGAAATACGTTACTAAAGGGATTTTTTGTTTTACGTTTCAGATGACAAATCTACTAGAGGGTGCTGTCTACATTTGTTCGGATCTGAAATACATTACTTAGGGCACATTTTGTTGTACATTTTAGATGACACATCCACTAGAGGGTGCTGTCGACATTTGTGCAAGTCTAAAATACGCTACTTAGGGTACGTTTTGTTGTACGTTTCAGATTACAAATCCACTAGAGGGAGATGTCGACATTTGTGCAAATCTAAAATACATTACTAAGGGGACTTTTTGTTGTACGTTTCAGATGACAAATCCACTAGAGGGCGCTGTCTACATTTGTGTGAATCTGAAATACGTTACATAGGGTAGGGTTTGTTGTACATTTTAGATGACAAATCCACTAGAGGGTGCTGCCAACATTTGTTTGAATCTGAAATACGTTACTAAAGGGATTTTTTGTTTTACGTTTCAGATGACAAATCTACTAGAGGGGAAATACGTTACTAAAGGGATTTTTTGTTTTACGTTTCAGATGACAAATCTACTAGAGGGAGCTGTCGACATTTGTGCGAATCTGAAATATGTTACATAGGGTACGATTTGGTGTACGTTTCAGATGACAAATCAACTAGAGGGTGCTGTCGACATTTGTGCAAGTCTAAAATACGCTACTTAGGGTACGTTTTGTTGTACGTTTCAGATGACAAATCCACTAGAGGGTGCTGCCAACATTTGTTTGAATCTGAAATACGTTACTTAAGGGACTTTTTATTGTGAATTCCAGATGACAAATCCACTAGAGGGCGCTGTCTGCATTTGTGAGTATCTGAAATGCGTTACTAAGGGGACTTTTTATTGTACGTTTCAGATGACAAATCCACTAGAGGGCGCTGTCTACATTTCTGTGAATCTGATATGTTACTTGGGGTACGTTTTGTTGTACGTTTCAGATTACCAATTCACTAGAGGGCGCTGTCTACTTTTTTGATAATCTGAAATACATAACTTAGGCTACGTTTTGTTGTTCGTTTCAGACACATGTCATTCTTGTACACGTCCAGGAGAATGCAGAGCTTGTTGTACAGATCAGCTAGCGAAACACTGACCTAAGCCCAACCAATAGTGCTTTCAGAAGCAGATGTAGGAGAAAACTGCACTACGACCGCATTGTTTTACCTTGATTTTACATTGCTTGTACTTATTTTGTGGAATCGTGTTTCACCGGACTCAAACCAGAGCGCTTTGCAGCAAAAGCACAATACTTTACAAAGTGAGCTACGAGGAAACTGACCATGCCGAAAAAGTTCACCATATGGAGATAGAAAGGTGACACAAACGTTTTCATCACAAATCATACATATTGTTAAGTTGTTTTGTGATGGTTATTTGGTGATGTACAAAGAACTACATGAAAATAATCCCTCATTCATCTGAAGTGCGCCTGTTTTCTCAATAATTTTAGAACTTCAGATTCAGTATGGGAGAAATGACTAGGTATAATAAACGGCAGAAAACGGTCAAACTACTAGCTCTACAAACAAATGTTTGCATGACTATACAGACCAAGTAGAATAATTTAATAAGAAAATATCAGTTTGCAACATCAAGCAGCGCAACGAGCCGTTTTTACTATCTAAAAAAGAATGGAAGTGAATGAGACCGGACGTCTCGAGCCAAAAAGATTCAAATGGCTGCGCCCGCGCGTCGCCAAAGAATAAGGTGAATATGTCCTTGTAAATATCATTAGTGTGAATCGCAATGAAAGTTGTTGTCGTCACACTGCCCCCTAGTGTTCATTTTACCTGCAAAATACATTCAAATGAATGTTGAAGTACGTATTTGCAGTTTCACACAAATGTAGGCTGAAGCACATATTTCTAAGAAGTCTGTGTTGATACAAAATCGACGGTTATGATAAAATACAATAAGCAGATGCGATGGAAGAAATTGATATTCAGTCTCAGAAATCATGATATAAGAGAACTTTTGGGAGAAGAATTTGTGCTGAACTGTGATGAAATGCTTAAATGATGGCTAAAGGTATTAGCTTGTTTTTTGTTATATTTGTTCCTAGTTTGCATAACCATATCAAGAGTTCACACTTAGCTGATTATTAATTATAAAGCGTGTTTGGCATGCTGTCCCAGGAGAGAGCCCTGAGCTCATAAGATCCTCAAGCCAGGGGCTCCCTCCCGTTTGCAAGGGGAGAGGGGAGTTTGAGCTCAGGTAGATCTGGAGAACTCCCCTGCTGTAGTAGCTAATGAACAGACAGTGATTGCTTTTAAGAGATAACTACTTGCTAGGAGCATGCGAACCGGCGACCTTCCGCATGGGAGTCGGTTGCTCTACCAAGGAGGCTAAAGACCATGGCCTCTAGCGTCTGTCGCTAGAGCACCTTTAGAGGTCAGAGGAGTGAGGTTTACCTGCACAGCACCTACTAGCTGGCCTCCGTTACACATGTCTATGGTGCCGATTTGGATTAGTCAATTAACTTAAGTTGCATGTTTTTGAACGGTGGGAGGAAACCGGGGAACCCGGAGGAAACCCACGTGAGCACAGGGAGAACGTGCAAACTCGGCACAGAAACGTCGGCTGGCTTGGTAAGGACTAGAAACAGTGATGTTCTTGCTGTGAGGCAACAGTGCTAACCTCTAGGCCAGGGTTTTTCAAAGTCTAAGACAGTGGGCCTCCCTTTTGACACAACTTATCCATTGGCGCCCCCCTCCTCCCAAACACACACACACACACACACACACACA